ATGCTGCAAAGAAGAGGGAACTGGCAGACGGCTGATGTAGTTGAAGCAAAGGGTTAGGCAAGTGATTTGAGGGGCAGAGCACTGTCTCGATGTCAAGATACATTTCAGCAGGGCCAACAAAAAGGATGATTGCAGTAATTGAGAGGAGAGCCAGTCAGTTCTTAGGTATGTGGAAGAACAGGAAATTATTATATTTATAATAATGAATCTGCCTGACCTAGATGTGGCTGCCTGAGAGAAGGTACAGAGAGAAATCTGTGTTTGGTGATCTATGGGTTGTTGGTCTGCCATACAGGTACGATGTTGTAGTGCCCTCAGTGGTAAGGAAATAACATGGAAGAGGGATGTCATGGCCTTAAGCCATACTGGACTTGCATTGTCAGCTCTACCAGCATCTTTTTGCTAGTCTCACTAAGATCTTTTTAAAAACTTTGAAGAACATGTGTAGGCAAAACAGACATTTGTCAGTCCTCAGCACAAAGATATTAGCTGGATTTTTACGTTCATGCAGATTGAAATAATTCAAAATAGGATGCAGAGGGAGAAAAGAAGGGGACCAAGGAAAGAGCTTTTTAAGGAACACCAAGAGCTAACTGGGAACAGACTGGGAAAACTATGTCTCTCTTGCATACTATTTTGAAAGTAGTCTTTAGAATAGTAGGAACAGAATGAAGAGAGACTCAAAAAAATGAAAATATATGGTCTTGGTAGAGCACCATTACTGGTACCAACAACTGCTAGACCTAAGAGCTGTCTGGGTAGAGATGATTAAAGAAGGGGGAAATATGAACTGCAGCAGGTTTAGGGTGAGACTGGAGGGGAGAATCTCCCAACAGTGTTGGTAATGGCAGCCATTAGAGATGAGGTTTGGAATGAGAGGGGAAAACGGAGTGAGGCAGGATCTAGAAAGTAGTGCTAGGAATTAGCAGTTGTGTATTTGGCTGTGAAGTCTATAGAAAAAAAAAAAAAGTTTTTTTTTGATAGCTATTTAGAATCCAAAAAGTGTGACTGCTTTTCTTTGTTCTCTTGCTTTTATAACTGTGTCATCTTTCTGTTTTGTGGTTGTTTAGGATCTGCCCTTTGTGAGATATTTTTGCACAATGTAGCTTTCAAAATCTTCCTTCTGTTTATTACTACCTCTGCCCTTTTTTTTCTTCCAAATGCCATCTATTTCATTTGAGAATTGTACCCTGGGGTGCTTCAATTATGTATGAAGGTGGAATATTTGGGATGTGCTATTCACAAGTGCTTTCAATATGCCATCTGAACTTTGAATATGAGCAGAATCGCTAATATTTTAGTTTCTAGGGCACATTCTCTTAAATGAGCAGTCAAGATGCAGCTTTTGTTCCTAAGTGCTCAGTATTTTACTCAGTCTCCGTGAGACCTTACGAACCTTCCACATGAGGATGATGAAAACATATTGGATTGAATGTATCTGGTGCAGTAGGGCTGCCACAGATAGAGACGTGGTAGAATTGACCATGTTGTTGTTCTGATAAGAAACAAATAGTTGAGGGATGACTAGATAAAGCTCCATTTCTGTCCCAGTACTGCAGGTTAAAGATCTTCAACCTGTAGTTGCCTCCTAAAACGTATGATGTCGCATCTATAGAAGTTATCCCATTTGGTGCTGTAGATCAAATGGATTGGTAGCCACTAGAAAAAGATACACAGTGAAAGAGATCTCTGCAGATATTCAAGAAGCATTGCTTTGACTGTCACCTGCAGAAGCAGAAGATATTGGCTGCCAGAATCTCCATCTGTTATCCAGCAAGAGTTGTTCAGCCTGTACTTCCGATGATATATTGCTGGTGGTGCACATGGAAAGGGCATAAAGCTCTAACGCTGTCCCAGGGCAAACCAGAAAGTCTAGTAAATGGTTTAACAAACATTTTTGAGGAGCAGCTTCCAACTGTGACTGTGAAGGTCTTGTAGCCAATTTCTGGCAATTTATGCTTTTTCTGCAGACTGCTGATTCTTAAATACTACTAATGTATTACAGAAAAGGAGAGAAAGCTGTGGGAGGTAGAATGAAATAATCTGGATAAGAGGACAGGGAGAGGGGAAAGTAAAGGCCATATGGGATCTTAGGCATTTGCAAAAATAATTGAAGCTATGCCTTTGTCAGTTGTCTGTACCCAGCCACTGTTTCACAGCAGCCTTTATGCCTTCCAACATTGTGCTGCTGTCATCCATCTTCCCAATAGAGCTGGACATGATAAAGCTTTGAATGATGCTTCTCCAAAACAAGAAATACTGTGCCAAGAACAAAGGTTGTTGTTGGATAGGCAAGTAAGTGTCCAAGGAGAAAAGAAAGAACTATATTTAACATTGAAGAAGGAGGGAAGGTTTAGCAGTGCGTATGGATGTTTGAGTAAAGGGCACTGGGGAGGTGAACAGAGCGAAGGGCGATGAGAATCACAGCCAGGTGCACAGGGAATTCTGTTAACAAAACCTATGGAGTTTGTAGCATCCTACTATGAAAATAGGGGTACCTCAGTGGACAGTTGCATGGTGGGCATGCTCTTTAAAGTAGCTGCTTGCAGACACATACCAACCCACGGTGAGGGACCAGTTGGTGCACCAGCAGTGCCAGAAGACTGTCTCATCCCTTAGAGGGACAGCACTCTATAAGAAACATGGAGTGAGCATGGTGCAGCAGAGATTCCTGGTTGGCTAAGATTTACTGGATTAGGGGAGGTAAGGTGTAGGACATTTTTATAGACTTAGATTCCTACTTTGTTTTCAGCTCAACTGCTAATCCAAGGTCAAAACTAATTGTCCACATCTTCTGTCTTCACTGCTATGTCTGTAGATTTTAAGAGTTTGATGTGTGGTCTCTCTGCTGACATACTAGTACCCTAATCTTAATTTTGTTGCCAATAATCATGAAACACCTTTGCTGTAAATTTGGAACAATCTGCCCTTTGAATGCATTCCACTGTTAAGCTGCTCTCTGAATCCCTGATTAATAACCTAAATGACTTATCATAATTAGCTAGTCCTCAGCCTTAGAATTGGGGAACGCACAAATTTGACAGCTTTCAAAAGTAAGTGGAGCAGGATCAGGGAGTCTACAAACATTTCTGCCTTTGTCCTTATCTGGAAGCTGTTTCTATCAAAAAGTGGATTTATTTTTTTTTTTTTAAGCACTGTGTATTTAAGACTTCCTTTTTAATACATGCTCTATTTCTTTTTGAAATTAGTGCGCATTTGTCCTTGCACCAACTTTGTTCTTTAGCATGTCAGTTCCTTCAAAATACAAATTATGTCTCCTTTCTCAGAGATTTCATACATAACAGACTCTGATGAAGTCTATTCCACAATGCACGAATTGCTAGGGAAAATTACATAAAATATATATAGAATGTCAGTGCTGGGAGATGCGCCATCTAAAATAGGGAGAAGCTGTTTAATTGAATTTTTTTCTTCTCTAAGATCATTGAGTTACAAATTCCTGGGACCACTACTGCAAACATGAACATTTTTGTTCTCTGAGCATTGCAATGAACTTTCATTTATAACAGGGTGTGTGTAAGAGAAATAGGCTATACAGGAAAGCAATGCTTCATGCTTTGCACGGTTGAAGTTTCAAACAAATTTAGCAAAGTTGTTGTGGATACACCACTCCAAAAAACAAGGCAAAATTCCTTTTTCCTGCCCCTGAATACTGAACAAGTTTCAGCTTTTTCTCTGACAGGTAAAATTTTCTGGAATTCATAAAACTTTTGAGTACTTTAGAGCCAAAGTCACGAAGGCAGGCCTGTACAATTTTTTCAGAAAATTTGCATTCGTGTGTGTTTTTTAAATCTTTCCAAGTTCCATGGTGTTAGAGTACTGTTTGAGTGACTGAGCAGTGTCTGCTTCTTCTCATTTTTCTTTCCAGCAGGTTATTTTTGCTGACTCTCAGAATAAGATGAAGGTTAGATGCCTAGTTGGCTTTATTGGGTGTTGAACTTTGGTAAAAGTTATACTTGTAAAATACTGTCATTGAAATAAAATGGGAGTACAAATGTGTACAAATTTGTATACAAAGGAAGGGTTACACATTTTCTCCCTCTGCATGGCAATGCAGGAGACTCCTCTCCTGGAGGAGTCTCTGGTACTAATGAAGCAATAGCTTGACTTCAGTGCTCTTTCAGTTGTTGGGACTTTGTTTGGTTAATTATAGTCGCATTACTAAGGGGTCAGTGTTCCTGCACTCCAACACAAACATGTGTGTCCACCTACAGCTGATGGTGACAGCTCTTGAAATGCATAGCCCTGTGGACTGACTGTAGCAGGGTATGTGCTAAAGCTCCTGCAGCCTGCTGCGAGACAGGCATTTCCCTACTAACCACAGTGTATTGTGCTGTACCCAGCCTCTGGTTCAGTCTGTTTTGGTGGGTTGTCTCCAAATCATGATCTAAGTAAAGGATCTAAGAACTAGCACTGTGCCTGGAGAGTTTGATGATGATGTTCTGGCTGGTTGGGTATGTGTTTAGCTGGCTACTCTCATTTATGGGGGTGCAGACACACTTTCATCACAGCCTGACAGTTGCTGCCAATGGGAAATAAATCTGAATATTAATGCAGTGAAGGTAATGGGCCATTTCCTTCTGGTCATCTTGTACTGGCCTTTCGTGAAACTGAAGTTCCCATGCTCTCCTTTTGCTGACAGCACTGAAGTCTACACAGATTCAGTACAACACATAATCTCAATTATGACTGGAGTCTTTTCCTGCCAAGTAAACAATTTTCAAAATGCGCAACAGTGAGAGGAGCCTCAGGAAGTCCTTAAGATGAGGTGAAGGATGCTGTATTTATTGGTAACTGTGCCAGCTAACCTGAGGTAGTTTTAGAGCAACAACCCCTTGAAAGGGACTTTAATCAGCATTTTATAAAAAGTGTCTGCTGCCTTGATTTTCAGCTTGTCTCACATAGAGCTGTATAAGTTGCATCTGCTCTCTCTGGATTCCTTATAACCTTCTGACTTTTCTTACCATTTCTTATTTAAGATTTATGTCCATCTCAAAGAAGGGAGTGGTACCGATGGGCTGGATGCTTTAAAGAACAAACCGCAGCTTCACAGTATGGTGGCTAAAAGCCTTTGTCAGAATGCCTCTGGGAAGAACTACATCATCTTCACAGGCCCAAGCATTACCAGCCTGAATCTCTTTGAAGAATTTGAGAAGCAAGGTGTGTATTGGGTGACTGACTGGGTTTTAATGGTGACAGACCTAGATACCTTCTGCCAAAAAAAACTTCCTAAAACTTCCTAAAGTCTTCACTGATATTTTGATTCCTTGTATAGGTAAGTTGTTCATCACTAAGAAATGTTCTCATTCATCAGAAGGTACTATACAGAGGACTTTCTAAGTTGTTCTTTAAGTCTTATGCTTTAAGTCTTCAAAATGAGGATGTAAACCACATTTTAATAAGATTATTTAAAACCCTTGCTTTTGTCCTTTGCCTTAGAAATGGGAGGTCAAATCTATATGACCTGGGGGACTTTTCAGGAGATCTCCTATCTGCTTGTGATTTTTCTGTTCCCATTGTGAAAGACTATGGGTGGGATGAATCCTTAGGGATGTACCTTAGAAGTCTTTGTTGGTTTAATATCTGTTGGAGATATAACTTCTCTAGATGATATTCTATGCCACTGCAAAAGCCCTAGAAAAGTGGGGGCTTGTTTGTTTGTTTGGGTTTTTTTGTTTGTTTGTTTGGGGTTTTGTGTGGGTTTTTTTGTTTCGTTTTGGGGTTTTTTTGCTGGTATCAACATACCTCGGTAGGACAGTTTTTAGTTTTGGAAGCATAATAAACTCTACTTTAGCAAAAGCACACCTGCCAGCGGAATGATGTCTCTCCCAGCAAGTTTCATGCTAGTGCAGAGTAATCCCAGGTCATCCTTTATGTCAAATCCCCCCTCACCTTGGATGTGGAAAAGCCACGTGTTGCTTTACTTTCAGCAATGCTGAGGACTTGTGACTCCCCTTAAATTACAGAACTACACTCTTGCCAGTCACTTGTAAGTCATTTCATGTAACTCTTGGCTTGTTCTTTGGTCATCATGGCCTTACAGAGTTGGTGTGATGTGTAGAATAGGTCCTTCATAGCAGTAAGGCTGGAGGCTGCCAATATGCATCACGGCAAGGCCATTTCCTGTTTCAACACACCACTGATGTCCAAGTTTTGCTTTTGGCATTGCAGAAAATTAAACTCACGCAAACCATTATATTAATGAAACATGGCCCAAAGCAGGGGGAAGGGCTGGGAATTGAGACAATATGTTGATTCTTATTTAAAATGAGAACATCAGTGAGCTGCACCATTGCTGTAGTTAAGTGCTTCAGACTGTGCTGGCACTGAGGGCTGTCTCTGTTGAGTTCCATGCAGGACTTAGCTCCTACATTGTTTTAGATAAGCTGAAAGCTCACTGAGTACAGTGGAATACCTGCATATTCTTGTAAAAGAGCCATGCTTTCCCAAAGGCTGCAAACAGCCAAATGGGAAAGAAGTCAAGCATATTTGTAGCGCACTGGAGTTTTTCCTCTGAGCAGAGACTGATCTTTAGTAAATAGTTTTTTACAGCTGATTATAAGCATTACATTTTTAAAACTACTAAATCAATGATGCAAAATGTGGGTTTAAAAAAATGGAGAGAATAACATACATACTCCTAGTACCTGAGATTAAATTTTAAGGTTTAAATACAAAGACTGACAGACAAAAACTTGACTGTTGAATTGTATCCTTTATACTCAGCTAGGGAAGGATAAAGACAATCTAGTGTGATCCAGTTGATCTGTAACCCTGGTGAAAAAGATGCATGGCTACTAAAACAACTGAGTGTTTATTACTTGCAGATAATTCAAATTGTTCACAGGGTTGAATTATTCATGGGCTTTACACTGCCCAGATCATTCAAATTAATGGTTTCTAGCAGGTAACAAATTCAGTAGTGTCTTTTTAAAGCATGTAATTTTTACTCACTATCTGATCAAATATGCTAATGCAATACTGAGAATTTAGTTTGGTTCCTGATTTGTTATATAGCTTCATGAGACTTTATGATCTTTGACAGCTGCCTCCAAAATTAAATTTCAGATCTAGTACACTATCACCTTCCTAGGGGTGAAGTTATGAGGTGGGTGGGGGGTTAACAGTAAGACAGCAGGTTTATTGACTTTGCAAAATAGCATGGCACTCCTATATCAAGAAGATCATGGGGAACAAAGTATTTCTGTGTAATAAGGTGATGGGATTGTCTCCATTTGCCAGGAGTTACAAGGGGCTAGCTCAGAGGTTTTACGGGGAGATGTTGAACTGGAAAGACTGTGAGACACTGGGAGAGGTGAGATGCTTGACATGCCAAGCTGTGGTGAAGTCAGTAAGAACCTTGAAGGAGATGGTGTTTACTGACTCTCTGCAAAGCAGATGGTGTATTGCCAGCACCTGCTGAGATTGTACTGCATTGGCAGGACACTTGGGAAGAGGCAAGCAAAGAAGCCTGGACTGTACAGAGAGATCTCTCCTGATCTATCAGAGTAAGTCCATGTGTCCTGAAAAGGGCCACACCGTGACCAAGATGTGTCATGAGAGCCTGTTGAAAAGCAACTATGCTCAGGTGCTCATGACAGTTCAAGACCCATTCTTAAACTGATGAATTTACTTCTTTTGTTCAAGAAAATTTAGTTTCTGGGCTAAAGCAGGATCGGCAGTAGAAAGATCTCATGGGGAACTGAAAAAAAAATTGATATTATCTCAAGTGCTTTATTTTTTGGGGTTTCTGTGGCTTTTTCTCGTGACTGTCAACAGAGAAATAGGGGAAGATTTAAATAAGCTCATGCTTGGAAGCTATAAACTTTGTGGGAACATAAAAGTTTAAGGGAACTAAAGGGAATTCTGGAAAATCTAGAAAGAATCACCCACTAAAACGATATTAGTTTCTCTCAAAATTCTTGATGAAAAAGAATCTGGGGTCTTGGTAGCTAGTGAGCTGAACATGAGTCATCAGCGTGCCCTGGCAGCAAAGTTGTTCAACACTGTCCTGGGGTCTGTTAACAGGAGTGTAGCCTATAGATTGAGGGAGCTGATTATTGTCTCCTATGGTTTTGGACAACATGCCCCCCAGTGGAAGAAAGGCATTGATAAACTGGAGTAAGTTCAGCACAGGGCCACCAACCTGACCAGGGACTGTACTACAGGCTCTGCTGTGGGGAGGGAACTGTTCTTGTTCAGGTTGGGAAGGGGCTTTGTGGGAATGCAACAGCAGCCTTATGCTACCCTATTGAGAGAACAGAGCTGGCTTTTTACAGTGATGCATTGTGGAAGGACAAAATACAACAGACACAGGCTGAAACAAAAGATGTTCAGGCTTGATGCAAGGTTTTTCCTGAGGGCAGTGAAGCAGGATGTCCAGACAGGTTGTGCAGTCTCTGTTCTTGGAGGTTTTCAAGCCCAGACAGCATAAAGCCCTGAGCAGCGCTGTCTGGCCTCAGAGCTGATCCTGCTCTGACAGGGGATGGGACTAGAGACCTCCCAATTTGGTTTTCAACCTGAATTGTGCTTTACTCGGTTGGATTCTGTGATCCTATAAAAATTTTGTGGAATCTTAACTATCATTCACTTTCCCTAACCCTAGCCCCCACATGATAAAAAACACAGTGTTCTTTATTGAGAGCCTGCTGTGTAGCATCTTCACTGTACCACATGAGACAATAATGTGCCTAGTAATATAAAGAGATGTCGCTGAACATTATTGTAAGATCTGTGAAGATACCAAGAACTGAGAAAACTTCAGAAAATAAGACAGAACACTTTGATCTTTTTCCAAATCAAAAACCTGAATAGACCTCTTTTTTGTTTTTCAAGGGATGTACAAAGAATTTCTTTCTCTGGCCGCTGAATAGAACTGGAAACCTGCACTGAAATGCCCCAGATTCTCTGTTCTGCAAGCAGACAGCTGTCACTGCTATTCGCTGTGACATTCATTCATAGTGCATGTCCCTTTTTCCCTCTCTAACCATTGGTGGTGTTCTTTATAGAGGACAGAACCTCCTAAAGCCCTGTGTCTCATGTTTCCCTTAAACAAATGATTCCTGGAAGTCCCTTTTGCACATTCTGAACCAGGAGAAACAGCTGGCTTTGTCCTGCAGAGGGGCTGGTGTTGGCAAAGCTGCAAGTGCTATCGTTCTGGGTGACCGTGGCATTCCCACAAGCTTTGCAGGATCCTGCAACTCCAGCACATGGACTAAAGCAAGGTCATTTCTCCACCCCACAACAGCCCCCCCAGCTTCTGACTTGACCCAGTGTTTCATGCAGAATAAATGATTGCAGAATGTGTATTTTTGCCAGAATTAGCTCTAGCCTGATGTCCTTTGCGAATGGTACTAGTGAAGAAGTGGTGAAACAGGCTTCAGCACAAGCTCTCTGGGGACTGGTGACTCTGGGAATGAGTTTTGGTGACTACACATTTCCTCTTCTTTGCTAAACTGTCTTAGGTTTATTCATTTATATTGCACTTCCAGTTTAAGAAGTCCAGAGAAGGACAACCTGCCTCCACTGACTCCCATGTGTGTGGCAAATACCTGTTGTGATCCTGATTTAATTACACACAAAAACTTCATTGAGCCAGATGGACATAATTTTTATTGCTTCTATTGCCATAGTAACTGGGTGGTTTTAAAAAATGCTACAGATTAAGGGTGTCATCCACGATGAGAGATGCTAGTAAATCTGCAGAAGTGCTGCACTTTTCTAGGCTATACAGCAGGAAGGTTACACAATGTGTTCCTGAGAGAGAAAGTGGTTCCCATTATTCTGTATGAGGAGTGAAACATCTGCTGGAGGCTTTCTGCAGGCTTATTCCTACAATAAAAGGAAAGGCTACAATTAATTATTATGGGCTCTCAGAGGTGGCTGTTGCTGTTTTGAAACTCTACCACAATAATGTAGTTATTAGCTTGGTTTTATACCATTGCAGTTTGCTGGAGAAAGTATCACGTTTCAGTGAATCATAAACTTAAGGCAGCTAAAGAAATTCTTCTCAGGCTCGCTTATCAGAGCAGGCAGATCTTAATATTGGCTAGAAGAAAGCTTTCTAAAAGTTAGCTATGTTAATGGCAAAGTTTGCAGGTACGTGCCCTGCTGTTCGCATACCTCAGCAACAGAAGACATTAAAAAAAAACAAACACCTTTATATTGATGTTGTCATCAGGCTTCTCTCACTGTCTTTTGTGGAAGGAACTTACTGATTTCCAGGGACTGATTCATTCATTAGAAATAACCAATGGAGTGCAGGTTTCCTCCTTGAGGATGAAGTTTCCCCATTGCTGTGTTAGTTACCACCTTCTGACATAAGTGGCTTAAATTTCTGATGGAAGAGCCATAGCTCCTTGTAGATCGGCCCATAGCAACTGGACTAATTAATGAGTATTTTCAATTATTTTATTAGTATTCCTGTAGTATCTGTGAGCTCTTGAGGGAATGCTCAGCATGCCAATCAGTGTATGAACCAAGGACAAAAGCTTCACCTGCACTGAAGAGCTTAGGTCATTCCAGAAAGACAGAGGCAGAAGAGCCACATAAAAGGAAACCCGAGAACAGAGGTAATGTGGTTAGGGGAAGCCAGACACTGTATTCTGACTTTGTGTTTCCTCTGTAAGGATACCATGCAAAATTTGGCATGATGGAAAATTTGATCAAGCAGACTTAGCTGACAGATGAGCTTTAAACCACCACAAGATGTGCACAGATGTCACCTGCTTCCATGCCCATTGTTTTTTTTCCACTCAAGTGGGTTAACATAAAACTGAGGGAGACCGTGGAAATTTCCATCCAAAATTTCCTTGGAAAAAATTGATCAAGATCTGCTTCTCTTGGACAAACAGAAAGAGGCTGTTATTATTTCACAGCCTAATGACAAATTCAAGCATTATTATTAATATTGTTTCCAAATCTTGTTTGTGCCCACCTGGCTGCACTGAGGTGTGTTTTGTGGTGTTAGATTTTATTCATTGCCTCTTTCACAGGCCAAGAAGCTGTGAGCAGCAGACTGTGTCGCCTGCAGAGCCTATGATGTCTGTGCAGGACAAGATCAATGTTCGCTCAGCTAGGGCACTGTGTGGTTTATCTCCTTTCCCCAAAATCAGTTTTCACTGAACTTGTATTTCCATCTTCTCCATCTTTCTGCCATATGCATTTTTTAAATCAGCCAGTGGTTTCAGTGTTTTTTAACTGCTTAAGCAGCATTTCCTTAGTAAAACCAGATGATGCAGACGCAAGGGGTAGTGAACTGAAAATGAGGAACTTGGCAGCACAATGAAAGCAGTAGATTAAACCAGAGTTTGCCACCTATGTATATTGTGATTAAAAGCATCATGGGAGTCATGTAGGAGAATTTATTTCAGTTATCATCTACGATGCTATAGCTTTCCCTACCTCTCTGCTCCCTCCACAATTTATTCTCTTAGCTAAACATCAAAGACTCTCTGGGATAATAAATTCTGATTTGTCCCATAATGCGTATCACCGTTGGAGGTTTTTTTCAGACCAATTTTAAACATGTGAAGACTATTACACAGATTGTAGATGTTATTGCTAGGAAGATACCCTGAATTATTTTTCTTGTCATTTCATCATGACTATGCAGGAGGTGTGAATACATTTAATCAAGAGAGCAGACTTTCTCCACTTGTCTCTGTTTCCAGAGACATTAATATAGGACACAAATCTTTGGTATTACAGAAGAAAACCAGTTGGCTGACATATCTCTTCGACTACAATGTTGTAGGGCAAGTTCTTTCTCTACTTAGGTCACTCAGACTTGCTCTTCTGTTTTTGCTCTTTGGGTCCATGCAATGAGGGAATATGTTTGTTCATATGCAGAGATTTACTGCTGTGGGTTGCTGAGCACCAGGAAGAGTGACTGCACAGGCCTACCTCCATCCATGCTGAACAATTCTGAAACTCCACAGTCCAGAGGGCAGTACAGAATAAGAATGAAGGGAAACATGTCCTTGATCTGCTGGTACAATAAAGGGCACTTTCGTTTTCTGACCAACGCCTATTCACCGGTTCAACAAGGTAAGCAATATTCCTACTTCTCATCTCCAAAGTGCACATGCTTTATGTCATAAGGCAAAATGAGTCACTGATTTTGATAATAAGGCTGAACAAAGAGCTTGATCATAATTGGTCATAACATTCTAGATAAACAGTAGCAGTAGCGATTCCCTTTTGTGTCTTCCTACAGCTGTTCTTTTTTCCTATACAAAGGTTAAAAGCCTACTGCAGCCTCCTTTACCTGAGCTGGTGGAGGCAGTATCCTTTCAGGTAGAAAGATTATATCTTTGGTGATGGTCAGAGAAGGGAAGATGATTATATAAGACTATATAAGACTATATAAGACTTATATAAGACTATATAAGACTTATATAAGACTATACTAGCCCCATTTGCAAAGCGTCTTCTAGGATTGCTGCTAAAGAAAAATTAATATACATCATGATGTACTTAGAACTCTGAGCAGATCCTACAATTAATTTATCTTACCCAGTAAAAACTTAGTCACAAACAAACATCTTTTTGCCAGAAGTAAATATGATTAAGGTTTCCTGTTGTATGTTAAATTGATTTTAGCAGTTGATGAAAAAAAAACAAAACAGATAATTTGGATGGTTCAAATAATGGCAAGAGCTTCTTGCAACTGAAGTCTTTTCCTTTTTGAAAGTATACAGATGGTATAAAGAATGTTTGGAAACTTCTGTTAAATGCAATATGGCTAGCTAACTCCTTAAAATTAGTTTTTCAGTGAAAATATTGTTTCAGTTTCTTATAATTTTTATTATTCAGAGTTATGTATAACTGCTAGAAACAAATAAGAACAACCTAAACCTTTAAATGTAAAGCCACCAATTCAAAGGCACCTTCTACACTCATTTTCTGAATCCCAAGCAACTCTCACATGCGTGTACAGACTGCGTAAGCAAAGTTAATGCCAAAAATGACTGTATGGTAAGCTGAGAAGCTGACTTAGTGTGTTGTTCAATGCCTTCCCAGGAAGCTTACTACCTTAACAAAGCGTGGCTCATCCAGAGGAATTCTGCTGGGCACCCCAGTGGAGTGACAACTTGGTGACTCAGATGGGCTGGTGTCTGAGCACAATGCTGAAAATATGTGAAGGAAATACTACACTTTGGAGACCCTGCTAAAGTCAGTCCCTGGAACAGTGTTGCTTCCCATGAGGGACATTCACCATCAGGATTTGTGCTGTTTTCCTTGTGCATTTTGCTGATTTAGATTATTCAGCTGCACTAACTGGACAAGAGTTATCACTACATGTCACCTGTTTTTTATAGACAATCATGGAGCATTTGGCTATAATTCATAAATATTATTAGAAAAATACTCTGTACACATCAATGTTAACTGGCCCATTAAAAGGGGGAGCAAAAGCAAACTGTCCTTACAAGGAGCATATGGAGGTGTGAGCCATTGTGCTTGTGATTGACCTTGGGTCTGTTTTGGCATAGATGGGATTGTAGGCTCTATGTGTGAGGTAGTTTAACATCCACCAATTAGGACCTCTGTGTGTGATGGACAAGGCCTACCCAATACATTGCTCACCAAATGCTGGCTGGGACAGTTGACATAGTTCACAGTGAATCAGAGCAGAAAACAGAGACTGGCTTTTTAAAGAGTGATGCTGGGGAAAGAGAGTCTCTAGTGAAGACCTAGGAACAGATGGAGACTCAGTGGGAAGGCAAGAGACCAGATTGCCTGCCTCTGATTTGGCATCTCTAAAGTCAGTGCAGCAGAGCTAGTTTAAGCCAACTTGAAGCTAGACCACCAAAGTCTCCTCTAAAGTGTGTAAATATAGAGGAGGAAGGGGAGGAATGTATGCTCCTTGAGGCAAGCCTCTAATGTGAGCACATGTGAGCACCTGCTGAGCACATGTGTTATATGGGAGAGGAGGTAAGGACAAAGGGGATTAAAACCCATGCAGGGTAGTTGAACTGAGAGTGGCACCAGTGGGATTGCCTGGTGATGCATGGTGTGTGTTTGCACTTGGTTGAGCATAAATGTTTGCAGGCTGCAGGAGTCCATAAGGAGAAAACCTTAAAAACAGAAGGCAAGAGATGGTCAAAAGAACACTTAGGATAAGAAAAGGGGTGGACATAGCTAATAATAAGCTATTTATTGCAATTTAGAGGAAAGTCAAGAAGGTACTTGCCTGTATTAGGAGTGCAAATCCCACCCCAGCCAGAGCCATCAGGAGGGCAGTACACTTGTCAGAGCTCATCTAGGAATACTATTCTTAGATGCAGCAGGTTATTTATTATGGATGTTTTAAACCCACATGTCATAAGGCATCACCTCAGATACTAAAGGATGAGTCCTGCAAAAATGTCCTCCTTTCTCTGCTGTCAAATATGTAGTTTCTGCCTAGAACAAAATCTGATTGGGTTTTTAATTTCCCTTAAGCTTTAACTTGAGTTTAATTTTGAGTTGTGCCTGTATTGTAGAAAAACTGAGAAGTCAAAAGAGATTGGGACCCCTAGAGAGTAAAAAGTTACCCTTATTCTAAAGCATGTGATCTATGTGCTGGCCCAAACCTCCCCATCTGTGGGACAAAAATGCATTTTTGTTTTTTCACTCTAGATCTGGTGCCCACTTCCCTAGCAACTCCATTAGTACCTTCTAGAAATGTCTACAATATTTTCTATTTTTCATATGTAGCAGGATGGAGCAGGCAGCAGCCTCACTTGCCGCACAGCAAGATGACCAGAATAATGTCTCTATCAAAAAACTGTTGAATCCAAGATCTTTTTAAGAAGTATCTTCTTTCTGAGAACTGTCACAGGTGCTCTTCACCAACTAGCTCTACTTAAAAGCTGAACAGACAATAATTGAGGGTAGAAAACAAAGCTTGGGCCACATATGCAAGGAGTAAAGAGCTGTAAATGGAGTGTTGGCATCTTGCAAGTGACTTGTGAGCAGATGGGAGATGCTGTGGAGCCATCACAGTTGTATGAAGCAGTTGTTTAAGTCCCTGTGTGGTTCTTAGCCCAGGAGAAGCTGGAGTGAGGGGTGTCTGCTGACAGTCTAGTTTCCTGAAAAAATCAGCTTTTAAGATTGGCCCAGAATTGGGAAGTCTGGGGCAAGAAGCATAATGTTAAAAAGTATGTTTCAGGATGGATGAGCTTAGGGTTTCAGCTTTACATTTCCATGTGCCCTTTGTGAGCCTACAGTCAGGAGATTATATCCAAGTATGCTGACAGTGGGGAGGGGGCCAGAGGACCCTGATGGGAAGACCTTGAACAATCAGACATTGTGCAATGCTGACTGTCTGCAATTTTGATCAAGAACTGTAACAAATCAAAGTCCTGATAAAAAGCCATATAGCGCTTGGATCACGCAGTGTTATATTGTTATGAAATCTCAGTGTTTGCCAAGTTGGATGCAAGTGCTGGTATTAATGAGACTCACATTTAAAAAAAACTCAACTCATGATTCTTGTAAAATCACAGATAGGCTTAGAAGTGTTTTGAGGAAACAAACACGTCTCAACAAACCTTTGTCTTTCTCCTTGTTTCATTTGGAGTGGTATTTCCCAAGCTTTGCTTGATGAGCATACAGTCTAAAATTTTAAATAAAAAAGAAAAAGGGTTTAAAAAACCCCAAAAGCTGATGCCTTCCTAAGGTGACAGCATGGAAGCCAGAAGCTGGCAGCCCTTCCAGCATAGAGGCAAAGGCAGGCTGTAGCTGCAGCGCAGGCGGTGCATTCACTGGAGTGCTTCCAAGGATGGGAACACAGTGATGCTGGGGGAGGACCAGGAGGGGAAACAACTCATCAGATGTGCTGGTGAGTCAGCTGGCTTGGGGCTGGCTTTGGACTGCTTGCCACAGAGACCTGCAGCCAGGAAGGACCCAGCTCCAGCTGTTGTCTTCCATGGGGAGGTAGCATATGGCTAAGAAGCAAGGCTAGGAAAGGCCAAAAAATAATGTGCCTATAAAGCTATTTATATTATCAAAACAAAGGAATGTTATGTGGAATATAATAGAAAGTGAGAGGGAATATATGGTACCCATATAGCTGCCACTGCAATGCATTCTTTTAAGGATTATGAATACTAAGCAAATTGCAAAGGAAATACGAATCTCCAAAGGAAGAGAAAGGGAAGAAAGAGAGGACAGCAGGAGAAGAAAGAAGGGGATTTTTTTTTTCTTTTTAAACACTGGTACCAGAACATACTTGTCCTTTCCTGAATTGCCCTGGTGGGATGGCAAGTGATTTTGTGGCACTGATGCAGCAGGCTGGTGATGTATCAGTCCTCTTTACCTCATGCTGGTCAGATTTTGTAGTACTCATTAAAAGGATCAAAAATACACTATAATAATTATGTGAATGTAATGAAGGATTTATTTATTTTATTGTTCCTCCCCCCACTCCTCTCCACTTGAGCTACATTTACACCCAGCTTGGGTGAGGCAGAGGTGAAAGGAGAGTGCATTGAACAATTTAGAGGTGATATCATTTTGGACTCTTGAAAAATCAGACTTTAAAGACCCCAAATAAGTTGCTGCATGGCTCAGCTGTAACATGACATTTAGTAAGTGTCACAAATCTTGCTTCAAAATAGCACAGGGGGCTTGGCAGAGATAACAGATGGAATGAGACTTCCAGTTGAAGGAATGAAATGGTGAAGTCTATAATCAAAACGTGAGTAGCATTTTAGGGATGATTGTAAAAGAGTTGGCAGAAAGAAGGCAATGAAAGGTTTTTTTGAATGCCTGAGAAATGAGAAAGCCCAGAATTGTACCTGTACTGAAACAATGCTGAGAAAGGATGCAACGAAGCCTATGCTTCTCTAGACCAGGAGAAATTTTGCCGGTATATATAGGGAGACAGTACGGATCCTCACTAGACAGTGCCATAGAGATGGAACAAGGGTGGTCCACACCTTGGAGAGCTGACCATTGAACCCTTTGGGGACATAAGTCAAAAGTTAGGGAACACACTCCTATACTGTAAGTTTGTTTTAATCACCCTTACCTCCTACAAGGAGCGTCCCCCAGGAGTGGGGAAGGAGGACAGGAACCATAAATCGGAAAATAGCTAGGAGAGTTTCTTAGGAGAGCTACTGCTGTAGTGTTGAATAAGGCCAGGTCAAAGATAGACCATGTGAGGGAACGGGGCCCATTTTTGGAGTAACCTGCTCTAGGCATCACATCTTTGTCAATGCAGAGAGTGGTTTGTAGGTGGCTGAAGGTGACCTGTTGCCTTACCACGGACTAATGCAGTAGGCAGCAAAATTGTCCCCCACGATGAGCTGAATTACCAAGCCAGCTGACCAGGCAGGGCAGGGAGCATCACTCGCAGGCAGAAAAATGTGTGCTTAGCACCACTGAGTAACCTAAGTGTACATCTGAGCTCTGGCTCCCCACAGCAGGAATCAGGCTGCTTTCCATTTCAGAGATACTGTGTGGCTCCTTCAACTCACACACTAGCATCACCTCTGTCTTGACTGAGTTTATCCAGTTGACTCCTTCTTATTGTATTTTCTCTTCTGTGTCAATTAGCATCTGGAAAAGTGGAGGTAATGTTGCTCTTGGCCCCCATGGGTGGAGATAAGGAAAGGATTTAATTTCAAGGGACTCATTTGGGACTTCAGAATTCAAAGCATATAACAGCAGGTCACCACTCTAGAGGTGACCACAACTTATTGTGAACCAAAAAAGGAGAGACTAATACTGTCTGTAAGGGGCTACTGTGGGACTACAGCAATGTATGCTTTTTTCTGAATGTATGGCAAAGATGTTTGTGTCTAACCTCTCTTCATTTCCAGCTGAAAAATGATCCCTCTTCTTCTCCTTCCACTTGCTCAAGGTATTACCAATGGGAAAAAAAAATCAAGTGAGCATCTCTGTTACAGATAACTTCCCAGTATTAGGGCAAAAACTGTCAATAAGGTTTATTTTATAAAAAACTGTATATAGAAACCATATCTTTTAATTGCTAGACTTATGATGTTAATTTGAGACTGTTATGTTTCTAATTGATGCAGGAGTCATAATTAAGAGAAAAAGTGGAGAAATTCCATGTCCATTGGCAGTTGAAGCCTTTGCTGCTCACCTTAGCTATATCTGCAAATATGATGACAAATACAGCAAGTAAGTAAGAATATGTGCATGCATGTGTGTATTCCTTTCACACCTTCTCTCTTGCTGCAATATTTGAGTCCTCCATGTTGAGCTGCAGCTGAGGGCCCAATCCTGCTTTCACCGAGTCCCAGACAAAACTTCAGTTTAAGTCAAAGATCAGAAGCTGGCTCTGCACAAGGCTGTTGTTTTGGCTCTATCTCCACATCCACCAGTCAAAAAGAGATGTTGAGACATAGGTCCTTAGCATCTTGTAAATGACTTTTGAGAAGCCAGCAAGCCAATGCTCTTGGCCATGTCAAATTGAAGGCTAAATAAAGAATTCAGCAAGGGTCTACTAGCCCCACAAGTCTCTCAGGCTAGCTCAGATCTCCACCTCTAGCAATAGATGGTGTTTACTTGATTATCTGTCCTGGTGATATTTGTGTCACCTGGAGCCAGAAGAAAAAAGACATTCAGTTGTGCCTCTAAACCTGATCTACATGATCTGAGAGGGCAGAATGTAGAACTTTTGTCTTCTGCATTCCAGTTGGGGTCTTCAGTGTTAGCTCTTAATGTAGTAGGGAGAAACAGAAATGAGTAAGAATAGCAGTGGTGAGGCTTGGTTGTGGGAATAGTGATGAGGTGCAGAAGATTTCAAGAACTAAAAACTGAAGAGAGAGAAAGAGCAGCATGGATTTTTAATGCCAGTTCTGGGCAAGGCAGCAAGAATTCAGTAGAATATATGAAAGACGAGGAGGTGGTTGCTGGAGAACGGTACTGGGATCTGATCTGAGGAAATCAATACGGAAAAGAGCTGAGGTAGTAGATTTAAATAATTACTAAAAAAATGAAAGTAGGAAAGTGGAAAATCTTATGACCGAAGAGTGAATATTCTGGCAGTCTTAGAATGAGTCAGAACCTAAATATAAGGATGTCAGTCCTTTCTAGTTCTGCCTTATGGAGCAGTGCTCCACATATCACCACTGTACGCTCTGGCTCTACCCCCACATCCTCCCACCTACTGTTGACAGCAGCAGCAATCATTCTTTGCTCACAATAAACATGAGGAGAAGAATCACCAAGCTTCCCAAAACTGTAACATAATGTGCCTGAGGCTTTTTTTAGTTGCAAATTGAAGGGATTCAGACCCACAGCTCCATTCATGTGGATGTTTGTCATGGGTAAGCTCTAGGAATCTTTATCAGTACTCTTATTTAAATGGAGTGGTAGAGAGGTAAGAGTGTTGCTGAAGCAAGCAACTTGCAACTTCTTCAAGCTCAGAAGAGCTTCCGAGAGCAAGGAAGTCTGTTCTTTTAGACACTACTAGAAATTTCAAAAATTGTGCAAATTAGCTGTAAATGACTGTCGAATACATTGTACAAAATTTCTTAAAAAGATACTTGAACTAGGTATGAAGTCCCAGGTCTGCTTCTCCTTTATGACTGCAGGATCTTTGTCTGAGATTATTTCTTGCGTCCCAGCTGCAATTGTTTGGCTTAACAGTGCTTTTCTCTACTCTCTTGGCTTTTTAGGTATTTCATTTCTCACAAACCAAACAAGACCTGGCAACAAGTATTCTGGTTTGCCATCAGCATTGCCATAAATAATGCCTACATCCTCTACAAAATGTCAGAGGCCTACCATGTGACAAGGTACAGCCGTGCACAGTTTGGTGAGAGACTTGTAAAGGAGCTTCTGGGCTTGGAAGACACCTCACCCTCCCATTGATGCATTGTTCCTGGTGGCGTAGGCAGAGGCTGAAGGGTAAGCAGAAGATACCACATCTGGAGCAGCAAAGCAAGGAACTTGTGACACCACCAGTGCTGTCATCCAAAAATGCCAAGTGATGCCACTAGAGAGGTGGAAACTTTGTTCCTAATAGCAGCTGGATGTAGACATGTTGTGCAGAAAGTGCCACTGGAAAAGCTGACACAAAATTGCATATGTGAATGCCCTGTGGGAATCTGTACACCCAAAAAAGACTTAAACTAGTTGTCATCTCAATACTATTTGTTGAACAGGGTCATCTTGTAAAGTTACTCTTGGGCCAAGAGCTTGTCGTACGCTGGCATAGCTCAGCAGTCCTAGACAGGTATTATGGAAAACTCTATAGCGTACTTGGAGTTACTAAATTCTGGGACAAGCAATGTAAGTCTGCACCATGGGCTGTGGCTGGGAGTGCCTGCCATCCTGTAGGGCGTTGCTGCTGTCCTCCCAGTGTGATAAACGGAGCAGTTCAGATACATGAACACTGAAGCAAGCATATTGACAAACAAAACCTTCACAGGCAGGCAGCCAGGAACTGAGGACCAGTCAAGATTTTTTCTTTCTGTGTTTTTTTTCTTTTTCCTGTTTTTATTAATGTCACCTAAGGCAATTTGATCCCAGTTAGTACACAGAAAAATTAGGAGAAACCAAATACATTAGTGAATTTAAAATGAAAATACATTATATTGATTTTCTTTTTTAACCAGGACAAAACATTTTATACACAAACACACAGTGATTAATACTGTAAGTATTAACAATGAGTAAACCATTAAGTAATACTGCCTCACATCTTAACTGCCACGGTCAGTGTACAGGTGAGAAATCAGAGTATAACATCTGTATTTTTTCTTGATTTCAACTGTATGTTAAATGTTGCTTAAAAAGCTAATCTAATGGACTGTTAAGGTTTTAGGAACAGCAGTTTCTTGCTTTTTCCTTTGTAACTGTCAAGACTTTTTTGGTCCGGTTTAGAACTCTATTTGACACACAGTTGGCAGGAAAAAAATAAGTCACTAATAGCCGTGTGTTTCCCATTATCACTGTGGTGTGTTCTGTAGGAATTCTTTTAGTTAGAATTCAGGGCTTGTTACAGTAGTTGTAATTGAGCAGATTACACGTTTAGCAAAATAACATAGCATCGCGTTTTACAAAAAGAAGTCCAGTTGCAACCAGACCTTAAACCTCACTAAAAGAGAGCAAGCCCAAAGAGTTCTGTTCTTAGTAACACTGTAGAGGACAAGCATCGTTGTGAGCTGGTGGCCAAGGCTGAAATGCCACATTTTGGTGCTGGTGGAATCTGAAGGCTGCTGGAGCTTCAGAAAACAATACCTAGAGAGAGAGGTATGACTGAAACAAGGGAGAATCGATACTGAAGTGAAATGCTACCCTGCCCTCTACACTTTGTTGATTTCAGTCCACAACTCAATCAGCAAAAAACTCCATGTTCTAAAGGTTAGCAGTGACAAACACAAACAGAATTGCATTAACTTATGGGGCAGAAACCATGTTGCTTAGAGGACCACCTGGTTTTAGGTCCCCAAGCATTTTACTGAAGAATGACTTGAGTTGATTCAAGAGGAATGGAGTGATCAACGGATTTATTGATTTATGATTTACAATCATAAATCACCAGGTTATATGTATCTATCTGGCAAGAGGCAATAGAGGGTAACCAACATGAATTTGAAAATTCCTGAGATTTCATCATTATGCTATGTGCAAATGCACAGCATGTAAATAATGAGAAAGAATCGAGCAGGGGTTAGTAAATTAATGACTAGCCCATAGAGTATCTTTGCACTGATACCTTTCTGTTTCCACCCAGCAGAGATGGGATGGTTTGCAAGACCACCTCAGAGCCACTTGGCATTTCTGAGGAGTAGGCAGAGCACTCTCCAGCTGTATTGTGGGCCCCCGGGGTAAACCTGGAGCCCTTGGCCAATTGTTAAATTACTATGTATGCTTAAAGGCCTGGATCTAGGCCACCCCATACAGAAAATGCCTTTTCTTTTTCAGGTGAAAGTAGGTCTGAGGCCTTGGAATATTTAATTTTTCACTAATGTATGCTGTTAATTATGTGGATTACTTGAGCTCAAATCATGAGGTCCTAGCTTTTTGCCTCAGGGACTGGGTCCTGAGTAGTTTTCCCTAGAATTGGTGTTGACGGGGGATTACACAGTGGCTGACTATTACAGGGAAGATGCTTTAGTCTCCTTTGTAAAGGAGAAAAATGAAAACAAAATTATAGCTTTGCAATGAATTTCATTTTCTTAGCCTTAACCATCCCTCATCATTTTGAACTGGTGTTCTAAACATGCACAAACATTCCATAAGTAAGCAAAAATATTTATATATATTTATATGTACAAAATGCTTGAATTTTGGCTCTTGAAGCCAACAAGCAAAAGTCACCAAAGCATAGCCTAGATCTATGGATGACTCTTCCCCCTCATCTTTTCTTTTTATTGACTGGAAGTGGATAGGGTTGGGGAAAGTTAGGATTTCTGCTTGTTGAAAAAGCATCTTGCACTTTCTCTGTTACTACAAACAAGACAAAGTAATTAAGGAAGAAATTGAATAATTTTTAAAAGGCTAAAGTTTGTTAACTGCAGCTCAGCCTCTGTAACATTTCGTTTACTGCAAACTGGCTTTCTCAGATTTGGTTCCCCACCTGCTCATAATATTAAAGCTTCTCCCTAGTTAAAGGGCGGGGGGAGGGAGGGGAAGTTAGTCTCAAAGTAGTGCAAGGATGCTAGTTATAGTGTGTGTGTCTAATTGTGCAATGACTTGTGAAATGATAGTTTGGTTTGTTTGGGGGGCTTTTTTGTAGCCTTAAGACAATCTAGGTAAGATCGTAAAACTCAGCAGTAGATGAAATGCAGTGGAAATGCCAGCCGGGTCACAGAGGAATGTCTCTAAAGTTTCTCAAAAAAAAACCAAACAAAAACCAAACAACAACAACAACAAACAAAAAAACCCAAACCAAACCAAAAAAAACCACCACAACAACTAACTTTGATGCTGAAGAAGCCAAGGGAGCACAGCATGGCTCATTTCTCTCCTGCTGAATTGAATTTTCATTCACATGTACTTCTGAAAACTGATAAGGACTTATTTATGGTATGCAAACTTTGTTTCAAAGAACTGAGAGCATCGGTAAGACATACTGATCACCTTCTATGCACAGTACTTTCAAGAAATGTCTGTCATGCCACGATCCATTCTTGGAAAACATTTCTTTTCCCAGTGTGTGATATAACACTCACTAGAGCTTGGAAGCCACTGTGAAGTGGTTTCCACTGTTGTCTCAGTTGAAAAATGCTTCAAGGGCTTGCAGAAACTCTGCCACTTTTTACTTCAGCCCGTCTGTGCACTTGACACTACGGCACGGTATAAAGAAATCACATCTCCATTTTCCATTTCTATTCTCTCTCCTCAACCCTTGTATATTTACAAGTAGTCCAAGAATCCTAATTTATAGAAGTACAACTTGGTTTTCTTCAGGTAATTCCTAGAGAAAAATGAATTTACCTGTTTCCAGACTGACATTAGGGACAGCAACTCAAACACAGCATTCCCATTCTTTACCTCCAGCTATATTACTATGGCCGCCTTTTTTTTTTTTTTTTTTTTTTGGTCTAGAGAGGGTACTTTTTATTTTCCTTCTAACATTTATTTAGGAGTCTGTCTTGAGCTGGTGAGTAGTGAAAGAAGCCTCCAATATCTTATTCTTACATGCCTTAGTCCCCTAGTCCTAGAGCTGATTTTAGGGATTATGCTGCACTGATAATTCTGCGCATCTGTGGTAGTTTCAATGCAAGGATTGCAAAGTGGTGTAACAACCTCAGCACTCATGAGACATTATTAGCTTCTCAAACAGGAGCTTCCCCTTTCTTAATCAGACACCAAGGCACAGCACAGATAAAGGGGTAATGAAACTGTAAAGTGGAGTTTGCACTTTTGTGATTAAGGCCATGTTCTATGTTTTCAGCTACTTGGTTCTTGTTCAAATGCACTTTTCCAAACTAGAAATGAAAGCATGCTAAATATCATTCTCCCGCTGAAGTAAGGGCTGTGGGACTTAGCACAGGTTCCATCATACAGGCCAGCATGAGTCAAAACCAAGTTGCACCGAAGGTAAGAAAAAATGTGATAAACATAGGAGCGCAAACAGTTCAGAGGAACTTAAAGGAGATAAATGGAAAATGTGAAGCTCTACGATAGCCCAGTAATGAGTGTGAAATTCAGGCAAAGAATTACTGAGTTGAGAAAAGTTGGTGAGGCTTAGATGGAATATGAAGTCTTCCATCCATCTCTGTTGTGGAGTTTGCCATGCCACTTTCTTCTTGGTAGGACTGGTGTAAGATTGGTTGTAAAACGAACTCATCTCAATCTGGTTGAGAAAAACATTCAAGTGTTGAAGGCTGTTGTTTCACAGAGGCAAGGAACTCTTAAGCTGAAAACAGGTAATATATTTGGCCTGCTATTAACTAGGATATTTGCACCGACAGATCACATCATCTGCTCATATGCAAGCCTGTCACCAGTGCTACTTGATAGATATTCATTCTGGTAACAATTCTTTCCTAAGCTACCTTTGTTTCCAGAAGCATTATGAACTGGAAGCACCCCTGTATCATCATCATATCACTGTTGAAAACAGTTAGGAACAGCTGTGCTTTGTTCAGAAAGCACTCTTCTTCTGAGCAAAAGCTCTGTCTCTTCAGAAACGTAGCCTTGGAGAAGTTTCCTGCCCTATGCTTTCCTTTGCTTCCCTCATTCCCTGTATTTAAAGCACATCCAAGTCATCCTGCAGGTTCTTGGTCAGTCTGGAAAAGTTGACAACACAGAGTTGGCCCTTCAGTTTACATTTATAGCATTGCTTTGCTGGTCCTTTTTGCTATTTTGCAAATCTCAGATGAAACAGGGTATTGTTTCTGAAGCCTGTACTGATTGCAATCACTGTGAGGGTGTTGCCTGCTTTGCCCCATTAGTGCTGCCCTGTCAGGTTCCTGTGGACACAAAACAGGCATCAGCACCACCGCACCCACCGCTCCAACTGGAATGGCTGTAACATTCCTCAGCTCTGGATCACTGTCAGAGAGGGGCTTTGACAGGGTCTGGGGAGTCTTTTGAGGTTTTGTTTTGTTTTTAAACCCTTCCACTCTGATGGGTCTGGTGAACAGCTTTTAGGTATCACAAAAAGGCCTTAAGTGGTAAACCCCTTTTGTATCACTTTGCTGAAGTAATAATTGCTTGTATGAGATGTCAAGGTGGTCCACATGATCAGTGGTGCAAAAATCTTTCCCATGAAAGCATCATTTGCTGTAACTGAACAACCCTTGAATGCCTGGGTGACCTGGATGAAGAACCCAGTGGGAGTGGACCATCATGCCGTGCTGTAGGACCACAGTGTGTACAACCTGACCAGATACACAAATGGGGGAAGGGATAAGTGTAATTTAGGATCCAAGCTCCTTGGACAAACAGACTTCATAGTCAAGATAATCTCAGATGTTTTTCTAAGGCAGGGAAGATGCCAGGCGTATGCAGTTTGCTCCCAGCCCTGGCAACTCCATTTCAAAAATAAAGAATCTGGCAAATACTTTCACACTTCAAGTATTTACAGTGTGCTCTGGACTTCAGAGTATTTTGACCTGTTTCCAGTAGTTCCCCATAAAAGCCTAGAAAGTGAAAAGCAAAGCACCATCCAGAACCTAAACCCGCTGGTGTCAAAGTAACTTTATGGTCTTGTTCTCAATCTGTGTCAAGGTATATGCAAAACATGACTGCTGAACAGTTTGCATGTCTCTATGAAATGGAGTTACTCATTTGATGGAAAACAGTTTGCAGGTGTTTTGGAGTTTCTTTTCCAACCTGGATTTTTCTTCTAGTTATAAGTCTGGCATTTCAGTACCAAAATAAAAAAAATAGCTTGACCCCATGGTCTGGGGGTGAGATTAAAGATAACAAAACTCAGGTTTAATCCAGAGATTAATCTGATCCTGTGAAGCTAATCAGCATGGTCTGACACAAGGAGGCATTCAAGAGGAACAGTGGGTTTGAGGAGGCAGAGGAAACTTCAGAGGCTGGGTATGTGGAGGGAGAGGACCCACATGATCCCTTCAACTCTCATCATTCCAGCATGTGTGCCCCCCTCCCCTGCTACCTTTGAATTAAAAAGAAAAGGCTGACGTTTAACACATACAGTCCTGCACAGCTGCTTTAGCAACATAAACCCTGCTTTAGCTACATCCCTGGCCTCACTCTATGCCTTTCCTTATACTATACATGATCAGTAGTCATCAACCTTGGAGTCACAGCACTGCTGCATGTCAGCACAGCATGGAAGTAACAGACTGTGGAAGCACCACAGTAGAAACAGGAACAATGGGGATTCTGGAAAAGGAATCTCTCCCTCAATGTTTTTTTTTCATTTATTTTCAATGTGTGCAACTTACATTCCATCAAATGCAGTGACAGTACCAAACATGAGGATGGGCCTTAGCTGGCCAAAGGCTTTCAAGACTACTGGGCTGTGCTCACACCATCAGCAACTGCAGTTCTGTTGCAAAGTTCCATATTCTTTATAATTCTAAAGATTCCTGTTGAAAGCATAAATTCCAGAGGTAAACCATACACTGCAAATTGCTTTTTTTTTTTCTTTTTTAAAACCTTCTCAGAGCAATTTTATAACAGCCAAGTCTTTCAGGAAATGCAGGTGTGTGACCTCTTTCCAGTAAGAGATACACAACTGTATTTCTGCACAGGACAGGGAACTACTTTTGTGACACCGGTTTTGTTCTACACAAAGGCACGCTTGCAATAAATTTTTACAAGTTTTGTACACCATGAGCTAAATTCTGAGTTCCAAAAATGTGAAGTGTGGCAACAATAACAAAATGGATTTATAGTATCACTCTGATATCTTGTCATGTGATTTTATTTATTCGACAAAGTTTGTTTACAATCAACAACTTTGAAATACAGTCAGATATATTACCGGTTGCTTTTCTGTCTTGATGTTTTCTGAAATACATGGGGAAGATGTTTGGTTGTGCTCTGGGTGTGTAGGTGAAGGGATGTAGAGAATATACTGCAACATAAGTTACAGGTTTACACTCTAAGACCATCAGAGGCAAAAGCCAGCATCTTTATCCAGACACTGAGTATAGAGCCATTTTCTTTAGAAACAACTGAATTTAAAAAGCAATGTAGTCTGCACACAGGCATAGGAAAGGGGACCACTGTCCCCAACATGCCCCCCAACACTAACAAGCAATGCTTTCCAGCCACCTCAGGGCAGGGCGGGCTGGACACAAGGACATGGGTGGCTATCCCAGCTCTCAGTACTAGCCCTTTGTCCTTAACTGCTCTGGTTCTTCCTGGCAAGGTTTGTCTGTACCACTAGTGGTATTCACCGAAACCATGACCTGCATGCCAAATAGGTGGCATTTGCAGGCAAAACCAGGTATGCGTGATCTGTGGATGGCCACTGTTTCACAGCTCCAAGTCAGCAAGTTACTAGGACCTGGTTTAAACCTTAATCACTTAAGGAGCAGAAGTCTCACAGGAGAACATGTAAGTGGGGGTACAGTGGGTCTCTGTCAACAACCACAGTAAAGATGCCCCCCACTCCTTGGCCCTGTGTCCCTTATTTCCCTGTGGTTGCAAAGCCTCTGCTGGGGACCAGGCTGCCTGGCACCTCCAGGTGTGCACAAGTGTGGCTCAACACTGACCCCTTGCCACTATCTGTTGGGCAGCTGCCATGTCTGATTTGCTCAGAGTGTTTCTTCATATCATTTTGTGTTTTCCACATGAAGAAATTTAGTTTGCACCTAAGTTGTCCTAAGAAAAAGCCAGATTTTCAGGGAAAACAAAACATCAAAAGAAGCAACCAGTAGCAAACTGCTTGACCTATTTGACATCTCTATGGATCCAGTCCCCAGGAGGGGACTATTTTTCTGAAGTTGCTCAGTATCAAAAAAGTGAGGTCAAGCTGTTCAATACAGCCAAGATCTCAGAAATTGTATCAGTTTGGCCTGGCTCTCCCGCCAAGTCCAGGCTGTCTCCTTCCCCCTCCCACTCTCCCCAAGTGAGGGAAAAAAAAACGAACAACAGAAAAAAAAACCTGAAGTCTGAACGAAACGGGATTATATCAAATATATATATATTACATATATTTACAATTTACCTGTGCAATTTGAATATATTATACACAACAGGGAGCTCCCGAGGGGAAAAAAGGGAAAAGGGAGGGGGAAACAGGGATAAAAAGAAACCTAAAAACAAATATCTTCTAAATATACACCTTCAATAAGTACATCTAGCGAATAAGTACAAAAAAAAAATGGATTAAATACTTCTCTGAATGGGACAGCAGAACTAACTCCCCACACCTCCCGAATGGAACGGAGATAACGGCAGGTCGGAGCAGGCAGGCTTTGGCCTATACAAGCAAAACTGTGTGCAAGAGGGACCTGTCATCTTCAGCCACTGGAAGAGCAAAGAGGGCGAAGGCCTCTTATCTGCACCTTTTTATAAGTTGTGTTATGGAAAGAGATGATATGGAATACTTCCTTAGATCTCTGACCCTGTTGCTAAGGAAGGCCTAAAAAATCCAAAAAACCAACCCACTACAGAAATCTTTTCAACATGTAAGTAGCTGCATTGACAACCCTTAATATGCTGGTCTGAAAGACAGTCTGGACTTTTCATACAATCAGGTTCTTCAACAAACAGGCTCCTTTTCTCCTTTTCTCTGGATTTTTTGCACCACAACAGTGCCTGATGAGAAACCCACGGGTTTCTGCTGTGAGATATCACATCCGAGATCAAGAAGTGATCAAACCACAGTGCTTGCCTTCAGCACAGAGTGAAGGCTCGCTCATCCCAAATGAGTGCAGGGGCTGGAAACATAGATGTGCATAATCAGGGTGATGGATTGGCATGAACATGCCCTGGGGGGGCTGTCAGGGCTCCCTAGGATGTGAACAGCCACACACAGCACAGCACCTGCACGGCAGGTGTCTCCACACATCACTCCATAGACACACACAGCAGGGGGGACCTGAGGACGTGATTACAAGCCCCTGCAGTGAGATCACACATCAGTCGGACGTTCAGCTGTGCCGTAAACCAAATGAGAATTTCTGAGTTCCCTGTCATGGTTGGAGTTGCCCCCAGCAGCACAGCGCTTTGGTCCCTGGATGTGCCCATGACCAGAGCTAATGCTGTGTGTAATCAGGCCAGAGGATCAGAGTTGCAATAAGCAATGCGAATCATCTTTAACACACTAATTGAACAAAAGAAGGAATTTAATTTGTGAAATTATGAAATCCAGGATCTGATTGACACAGAGACACACGCACACAGACGCATAACCTCAACGCTGTCATTGAAAACGCCATCCATTCAGATCAGGCCATGGCCTGCAGTAATTCAATCTCTCATGAAATTATTCTCAAGAGAATTTACAATTAATAATTCCAACAACGTGGTCTTTCTTAATTAAGCCAACCTTAACATTTCCTTTTGCAGTGTTTTCTAATATCCTGTTCCACTTATCCCTCCATCCCTAGAGAGAACCAAAGAGAAAAAAAATGCCGAGTTGCAGACACTGCAGAGAAGGACATCCCCAGCTGTTACTAAGTCAAAGCAGAGGCTCTCTTAAGGCACCTTCACTCGAGCCTTGAAAAAGCACTTTACATGCGGTAATGAATGGCATCTCATCAGACCCCTGCAAAGTAAAGCCATCTCCACTCTCTGAAGAGACTGTCTCCATTCTTCAGTTTCCTTCAGATTACAGCAAAGCCACAGTTTTGTTTTTAGTAATAAGAGTTTAAGAAATCAAAATACGAAAAGTGATGAGAATTGAGGGGCCAGAAACCTCTCTCTGATGTTCGCACTTCCCCAGGTGAGGGATTGGGCAGGATCCTTCAGGAACACTTGCACCAGAGATACTGGCATGGGATTCATGTATTTTACCAGGGATTTTTTGTAGAATATGTTACTGTTACAGCTTTTACCTGGGAAACCTGCAGTCCTTCCTTCATACAAGAAGCAAAAGCAGCAGCAAAGCAGGTTTTCGGACTCATGGGAATTGGCAATCTACAAACTTGGATGGGAGTCACCTCCTGCAGTGCACTCATTGTCCCACACTGGCCTGGAGGTGGCTGGTACCAACTGTGATGTGAACACACTGAGGTGCAACAAGCCAAAATATGCCCTTTTTTTTTAACTTCCATGAATCAGGGCTGGATTGCAACCTCACCCTGAGATTAGCTCAGTTGCTTAAAACTTGGTGCTAATAGTGCCAGCATCAAAGGTTCAATCCCTGTATGGGCCATTCACTTAAGAGTTAGACTCGATGATCCTCGTGGGTCCCTTCCAACTCAGAGTATTCTGTGACTCTGTAAAAGAAGGGTTAGATGCTCCTTCTGCCAGATTCAGACTCCCCAGGAACGATAAAGCAGGATTTAAGGTGGCAGCATTGTATCACACACTTTAGGGAAATGGCAAAGCAAACCTCTTCAATCTCTCCTGAACAGACACAAAATTTAAAAACAGCCAAAGACAACGATGCCAAATAGTAATCCCCAAAAATGGAAAGTTATGAAGGAAAGTAGAGGAGAGGAAAGATTTATTTGCTGTGAATAAGATTAGCATCTGCAGGCAGACACACCAGAATAAATTGCAAATCACCCTCAGGATTTGGAAAAGTTCATTGCCTACTAATCTATCTGTATCTCAAAGCCTTTTAACATTGAAACACAGGAATTACTGTACATAGCCATCTCAAACATTTGGGCTGAAAAAGCTGGTCTCTAGACATAAGCAACTGTATCTCCACACAGCCACAGAAGAGAGTCCCCATCCAACACTCACAAATTAAAATGTAGTTCTATACCTGTCAGTGTCCCTTCAGTGTGTGTGTGCTGTTCTTCTTCACGTTGACTCTCCAATTCATCTTTTTTTCAGTCTTCTCCATTACTGTGCCCAACAACCCTGTGCCCAACTATCACCTGGCACAGAGCTACTTCTGAGATTGGATGGAAGAGAGACATCTCACCAAGTAGCTTAGCATAACATCAGCATAGCATTTTTGTGTTCAAATAGTCACCTGTTTTTTTGCTCCTATTCCATGATTAATATCAAGCATGCTGTGTTCAGAAAAGCAATTTCAAAAGTGCCACGGCAGAGTTCCACAGTTTGTCTTTTCAGACACCAGATAATGTCAGGTATTTACTAAACTGAACACGGATGATCACCCACAGTTTGCAGCCAGACTGAGTAATCAGTGGTATTAAATACTACATGTCAAGTTTAATAAACTTACTAAAATAGGAGAAATACTTGCACTTTTAATGAAGAACACCTGCTACTGCAGCCAGGGGCTTGGTCTGTGTGATCCTGGACTAGAGAAGCTCTAGGACTCAGACCAGTTGCTAAACATCTGTAGCCCTTACAGGGGTCTTGGTTAGTGCAATAAACTGACTAAATAGATAATTATATGTAGATAATTATTATAGATAATCATCCATATCTATTCTCTTGCCTGGGATGACAGCAGCCAATTTCAAGGCATGGTGCACTAAAGTGATTTTAGAAGCTGCTTTTACATTGAATAAAATATATCTGCCTCCCCCTGGCCTGGGGTGGATACACACACACCAAGCACAGACAAGCACTCAGGTGGACTCAGTGTGTGCCAGCAAGAGCTGTCTATTGCTCATGTGATAAGCAAAAGAAATTCAGGAACTTTTTCCCAGTGGCCACCACATATGATCTGTTTCTCGTGATTTGTCCTATAATGTCCCCACCAAATTGCAATGGAAACATCTATAGAGCGGTGGTTCAGCAGGCCAGTGGTAAATCACATATCATGAACAGCTTGCAAAGCACTAGGATGGAATGCTTTGATTGCTTTGCAGTGCACTGATTGCTTCCCCAAAGAGCAGCCTGCAGCAGGGATGACCAGGCACCCACTGAGCAAGGGAGACCAGGTGCCAAACAAAACTGGGTTGCAAGGGAGCTGCCCTGCTACAGCCCAAACCCTGGTGGGGCTGGAAATCCTGTCCTATGCTATGTAGGTGGGGACCCAGCCTCACACCTGTGCATCACGTTTAACTCCCAGAGATATGCCAGATCAGCCAGACCGTACTCTTCTCCCCATGTGCTTTCCCTACCTGTTGTCTCCTTGGTTTTATGTCCACTGGGCCCAACCAGCTCTGCTTTTGGGCTGCAAATAACCAAATAGCTTTCATGCTACTCAAGAGGGAGAAAACTGGAGCAGAAAAGACAAAAAGAAAGAACTTCCTCTTACTGTTTCTTTTCAAACAACGAGGAGCTATTTATAACATGGTTAGGTTCATTGTTGCGCGACAGCAGTGCCCTTTCCCAGCTGACAGAGCCTCTCTAGCAATGACAGCCTCGCAGTAGCCTGCAGGATTTTATTGCCTGAGGTAGCTTAACCCAGTTTCTCATGTGGATAATGAAAATCAGCAGTGGATGAGATTTAATGTGGCTGCTGTTCTTCAGGATCCTATGCAAAGGTTGAAGCAGCCAGGAACACATGAGCATCTCTATCTCCTTAGGACAGATTTACTTTAAAATGGGTGGTTGCAAAGCTCTCTTCCCTCATTGAAAACAAAGCATAACACCTTATCCAGAGTCTGGGGGATTTACAATTAAGTTCAAAGGTTGCCCTTCCCTCCTGTCAGTACCTCAGGACTGTGTGATAGAGGCAGTCAGCAGAGAGCAAACTGCTCCCTAGGTAGGTGACCTAAATCCTGCTTTGCCCAATGATGCTGCAGGGCACTGAGGGGGTGTGTGTGCTGCCTCCCCTCCCCATCAGTTAGGTGCTCTGGGATGCTTTCACCCCCAGGCAGGCCATCCTCTCAATTTGGAGTAATGCAACTGTTCCACAGTCCCCAGGGCTGAGGAGAAGTCTCCCCCAGAGAGGGACAGCCTGCAGAGGCACTGGTAACATGCCCAGTGTCACACATGCCAGGCCCATATCCACATGGGTCATGTCCACACAGTATGGCTGAAGGGCCCAACTCTGCCCTTCTCGTTGCCCTCTACAGTGCCAGGAAAGGGACCTGGAGGTTCTGGTGGATGTCAAGTTGAATATGAGTCAGCAGTGCCCTGGCAGCCAGGAGGGCCAACCATGTCCTGGGGGGCATCAGGCAAAGCATCGCCAGTCAGTCGAGGGAGGGGATTGTCCTGCTCTGCTCTGCACTGGTGTGGCCTCACCTTGAATACTGTGTGCAGTTTTGGGCACTGCAATGTAAGACAGATATTAAGCTCTTAGAGAGCATCCAAAGGAGGGCAACAGAGATGGTGAAGGGCCTTGAGGGGAAGCCATATGAGGAATGGTTGAGGTCACTTGGTCTGTTCAGCCTGAAGAAGAAGAGACTGAGGGGAGACCTCATCACAGTTTACAACTTCCTCGTGAGGGGAAGAGGAAGGGCAGATATTGATCTGTTCTCTGTGGTGACCAGTGACAGGACCCAAGGGAATGACCTGAAGTTGTGTCAGAGGAGGTTTAGATTGGATATTAAAGAAACACTCTTCACCCAGAGGGTGGTTGGGCACTGGAACAGGCTCTCCAGGGAAGTGGTCACAGCACCAAGACTGACAGAGTTCAAGAAGCATTTGGATGACACTGTCAGGCACATGGTGTGACTCTTGGGGATGGTCCTGGGCAGGGCTAAGGATTGGACTCAGTGATTCTTATGGGTTCCTTCCAAGTCAGCATATTCTGTTATTCTGAGTGTCCAAAGAAGCGGCAAGAACAGCAAATCTGTAGGTCTCTGAGCTGCTCAAAGCAGTGGGGAGAAGATGGAGCAGGAGTGTTTTAGGAAAAGGTGATAAAGCATCACTATTGTGAGATGTTTTAGACCTTTGGCATCTTCACACAGGCCTTGAGTTTCACAGGATGCTCCTTGGATGGACCCGAGCCTCCCAAGTCAAGCTATGGCTGAAGAACTTAGCTGTAACATTGCAGCAGTGGTTGGAAAAAGATGCAGGAGTTGTGTTTGGTATGGCTGCCAAAAGTTAATTAAAACAACAAAAACAAACTGAGGAGAGGGCTGTGCATATGACAGAGTTCATCAGTCGAATCAGGTAGAGCTTGTGCTTATTACATGCGTCAGACCAAACTCCCTGCAGCGAGCTTCCTCTACCTTACCACCTCCTCAGGGCTAATTTAAGAGCTGTTCTTTGCAGCCCATAATAATAGTGAGAAAGAAAATCAAATTCTGTTCTGCCACAAAGAAGAAACTGGAACAAGGGAACTGGCAGGAAACTTGTCTTGCTGCCATCTCTGGCTTTCCTAAAGAAACTTGTGCTCCAGGGCACCCAGTCACAGAAAACAGAGCTGCCAACAGGATGCACAACTCCAATTCTCCCCACAAGGGAAGCCAAGCTCATGTGCTGGGAAAGGAAATGACATTTCCCACAGATAAAAAAGCAGGGGGGGTGGTATTTATAGGTGAACACAGAAATAACCATACCGTCCAGACAAGCATTTTCTCTGGGATTACCTTATGCTCAGACAGCCTCTTTTGTATGTACAACCCCACCCAAATCATTCCTGTAATGGGCAGGTAAACCTCCCCTGCCCTAAAAGGGCATGACAAACAAGAAAGCATCATCACACTAACAGAGCTCTTCACACATTACACCCCCAGCTCAACAACACACGCAATACACATTTGGGGCTACTCTTGCTCCAGCCTGTGTGGGCACAGGGAGCAAGGCTGATGTGAGTGCCATCTCCAAAGCAAATATTCAGGCAAAACCAGAATGGAGCAAGCAGGCTAAAAGGGATTTGGGCCCACCCTTTGTGTCCCCCATGAAACGAACTTTTATTTGGCCAGATCTAAATAAGCAAGTGCTTTTCTTTATTTTTAATTTTTCTGGAAAGCCATGTGATAGTGCTCGCTACAAGGGTATCGCTCACTTCTGCCAGGCTAAGCTCTGCTCCATGCAGGCTGGTCATGTCTTCAGCTTCATGCCAGAAAATGTTTTAATCCATACAAAATGGATCACAGCAATACAGTAGTACTGGCATTGCCAAAACAATGGGGCTGGTTCCCACTAATCCCACAGTGCAGGGGTTCTTGGGGCAAAAGCCATTTGCCCTTTTTGTCACAACGTGTCTAGAAATGGAACCCAGGGTACCCCATCTCAAATCAAGACCCCACTTGTGCCAGGTGAAGATATTCAGAAGTTCATACAAGCCATTCTCCAGGCACTGCTAACAAAGGTCGAAATTTAGACGCAGCATGAAGATCTTTGCATCCAGGCTAATTGCAAATCCCATGGTATGCTTTCAGAACTCTATAGAACTTGTTTTCTTCAGAAGCTCTCAAAGACCATCCTTAGGGACTTGTACAATGAAGAGACACCAGAATGTCAGATGCCATCTTCTACCTAAGAGGCTATTGAGAATGCGAATACTTACGGATTTATATCTGTAGCAGTTTTGAATAGGAATAAAATTCTTAAAATGGTGTATGGAATTTGATCCCCTATTCACAACAAAATACAAAATTATTTTCCTAATCTTTTCTAGACTCATTTTTTTTCCATATTTACTCTTTCTATGTGAAAGCCTGAAATCTAAAAACTTTCTGCAGCCATTTGCCATTATAACATAAAAATCAACCAGAAACCTTTTCACATTTTATGCAAGAGGTTAAAGGACACCACTTTGTAAGTAAGCTGTAGCAAGAAAGGCAATTTGAAAGGAGAGCTGGAGATGGGATTCTCCGCCTAGCATATTAAATACCAGCTGCTTGGTCATTACTTACTGTTGCTTACGTAGCCTGCTGTCCTCCAAGGTGCTCCGTGCATCCATGTGTTTGTTCAGCCTCCAATATAAGCTACTCAGCACACTTCAGCTGGAAACAGTTAGCCAGCATGGGCAAAAGGATGAGATAACCCCTTAACCAATTGCCTAAGGAAAAACCACAGGAACAGGATTAAAACCAAGTAGTATTTCCTCCACCTGCCCTTCAAGCTCCTATCAATCTCTGATTTAGAGACTTCCTCTGGTGCACGTTTACATATTTGCATGTTTTACAGTCCTGTTTTCCACTGAAAGGGCTGTTACATCCATGGCATAATTCTCAACAATATGAAGTTCTTTTGTCCTTCAATCTCATACCTGAAAACATCTTTTTTCACCTTCTCATTCGCTATTTGCTAAGGGCAGCCGTGCATTAACTCCCTATCCATATACTCCTTTCTGTTCATGATCTAACCTCTTCTTGTCAGTCAGCATGCCTTTCCAGCTCAAATCAGATGTAGCAAGACATTTCCTGCTACTTGCTGATAAAGAATTTCAAATTAACAGGGAAAGGAAGTGGGCCATGGCATCCACCCTGTGCCACTTGGCTTATAGTTGAGCTATGTCTGCCTCCCTTATTCCATTTTCCCTGCCTCTCAAGATTTACCAGCACGCTGTGCAAATACTTTGATATATTCCAGGACACAATCCTGCTCTGAAAAACACGAATCACAACAGCGATTCTCATATGGACAACAAATTTTTAGGATGTTCCCTGAGCAAACTGACAGAACCTCAAGAGCATTAGTTCAGAACAGCAGCTTGCAAGCACTGCTTGTGGACACCTATCAGTGTTTTCTTCATTGATTTAATCCAGAAAAAAACCACCTATAGGCCCAGCATTGATTTACCTTGCCTTGCTGGAAGCCAAGGAAGATGTACCCCTCCTCAGGATCATTGACTCAGAGCACTGCCCGGCTGTCGTCAGAAAGCCCCAAGTACAGTGTGAGGGACAAGCATCAGCAGGAATCTTGCACAATTAACAACCGTAAGGGCCTCAACCTATTTTTACTGGGTTTGAGAGGAGGACCTTCATACCTCACCATCCCTCCATCTGCCTTGAGGACAGAGCTCAGGGAACAGCTGTAGCAATGCATGGTCTGAAAAGCCTGCTTCTCACCCAGTTTAAAAGGCTCAGTCTGTAAGGGGAAAAGTAAAGAAATAACAATCATATTCCAGAAGCTCTAATTCTATGAAGAATATTTTAAGGAATCAAACATAATTAGCAGACAAAATGGCTGGGAGCTGAAGCTAGACATTCAGCCTGGAACCAATTATTCATGAAAGCATAGGTATATTGGAAGAGCTAACAAAAGAATTAGATCAGCTGAAGAGTAAGATTTCCTAATTCTCAAATTCATCTGTTTCTCAAGATTTTAAATTCCTAAATTTTATTTTTGAAAACTGAATGCCCTAAAAACTTCTTAAAATTGTATCCAGGATATAAAAGCTGAGGACTTGTCAGAGATATCGCTGTTGAAGATGTTACAGCTTATGCTGTAGAGCACAGGAGAGCTAGATCTCATTTTACCTTAAACTACAAATTTACTGACTTTGAAATACATTCAAAGTTGCACTTCTGCAGCTGCTTCTCCACATCCTCTCAACTTTGCATCTTTCTCTTCCACTTCACTTTTTCCCCCATCTTTTCTACCTAGAGATAAAGATAAGAGTATGTGTGTCATTTTCTGTTGTATCTCCTGCCATGACAGAAGCCCTGGCCCTCACCAGTGACCCAAAGATGCCACCCTCTCTCAACTCATTCAACAGCGAAAAGCAAAAGAAACATCCTCATACAATTCTGAAACCAGCTGGCAGAGAGCGGAACACTAGTATGGTGTGCTCCATACCACACAAACTACATGTAAGGTAGAGCATTTTCTTTCTCCAGATTGTCTAAACAAAAGAATTAAATCCCTTTCTAGTAGGAAACTCTCTATTCAACATCAGCTTGATGTTGAAACAAAGACCTTCATGCAACTTAAAACCTTTTAGTCTCTCTTGCCCCATTTTTCTTCTCTTGACAGTATAGGTGTTGCTGGCTTTAGACTCAGATATCATCAGTGAGGCTGTTTTGGTATAAGTAATAATAATAACTATTATTATTATTAAAGGCATCTCAACAGGAAAGCAAACTAGAACATCCCTCAGCTCAGGTTCTGTCATGAAAACATAAGGTTTGATTTTATGGTCGAGTTAAGCCAAGCTCAAAGGGCTTTCAGCTACTGAAAGTAACACTTTCCATGTTGTTTTTTGTTGGGCTTTTTTTGCCAACCTTCCTTACAACCCCCACTGCCTCACCGCAAGGCATTCCTAATGCTCCTTTACATGCTGCTAGCTCACAGATGAGCACGTGACAGTGACAAAACTGTACCCAAAATCTCACAGTGACAAGCAGGGAGCAGCAATCACCTGAAGAGATGTTATATCCTATTGCTCCACAGGATGGACAAACGGCCTTTACGTTCCACTGGTGCTACAGGGAAGGGACGTTGAACATCTTCCCCCCTCAGCTACTTCTGGTTATGACACCCTGCCACTTTGTGCCAACTCCAGCTCTTTTCAAAAAGGTCACCTCAACTCTCCAAGACTGACATTTTTTTTTCTGTCTACCTTGGCCTGCTGCTTTATTCACTTAATTGTCTCGTGGATTAGGCACAAACACTAGACCAAGGGAGGAGGCAGGATCAGCATTCCTTTCCCTCTCAGCAGCAACAGATAGTCTGGCTCAGCTGAGCACAGAGCTGCCACCTAGGAATCTACCTCACGTTCTCCTCAAAAATAACCTGTTGGACAGGAAGAAAGGTGGCATAAAAGAAAACTCTTTTGCACAAGTGGTGCTCACCACACTACCAGAGCCACAATAGATTCTTGGTAGTGATTCTCTAACCCTCTTTTTACCAGATTACCAAAGGTGATGTTCAATTAATATAGGTTTGGCAGAAAGCATAGCTATTTTCTACTTCCAGATCCTTTTTAACTAACTAAATAAAAAAAAACTCAAAAAAATCCTTGGATTAAAAACATCTGCTGGGTAGAAATAGGAACTTGAAATCCAACAGGTTCATCTTCCTGCATACAGAGCAACAACATGCTGTTCTGCTGCAAGAAATCAAATCAAATTAAAAGAGTATTTTGCACCCATTCAGACAACCTCTTGGAGAGCTCTACAGAGAGAACATCTGTGGACTGACTTTATTCACAATTTTTAAGCTTGATTACTAGCAGATCTTAAAATAGCTACTGGATGCTAAGCTGTAAATAAAATGTGCACTCTAACAGAAGATGCAACCCTGACATTTGTGCTCATTCTGTAATCATGGCTTATTATCCCAGACTTTTTTTCAGTGGCTTCTATTCATTTGAAATCATTCTGTACAGGAACAAGCCTCTTGCTAGAGCGTTCTGTAATGAGCTATTGCTATGAAATTATTCGTTGTGTTTCAGGCATGAATGAGGACACAAGTGATGCACACATGCTTCTCAGGGCCATAGAAATTTTAGAGAGAATCTACATTTAAAATAAATATAAGTAAGACAAAGTAGATGGTGGTATTCATATACAAAAATTAAACAAAATAACTGAGGTTATGACTGTAACACCCCAGAAAGGAACTGAACAATGCTCTACAGAATCCACTTCAAACAAGACAACAGTCCTTACCTCAAGCAGATCACAGTCTTTTAATATCTCCCAATATTCACTTTCCATTTCAAACACACAGAGGCATCTTCTTGAAAATTCAGGATTTAAAATATGGGGGTTTAATCCACAAAGAGCAAAGATTAAACATGCCCTTATAAAGGGGATATAAACACATCTGCTTTTATGCAGTGACAAGCAAGCAGAGTAAACCCATGCAGAAAACCGGCTAAGAAAAGCATGACCTGAAATTCCAGGAAACAAATGGGGAAAATTTTTTTCACGTAAATTTACTTGGGTAAAAAGGAAACAATGGAGTTTTGGTCAGCAGTAATGCAAAATTTGCTGGATGGTTCATTCAGTCCTGCTACTATACTAAAGTTAACCGAGAACAGCAGACACGGGAAACATGTAAAACTCTAGGCAGAGACATTAGAGATAGACTTCTACATTTAACATTGGATTAGATTAAAAGCTTCTATTGCCAGAAGCCTGTTGTAATTATCTCTTAGTATCACCTGTCAGCTCCTGAGTGTCAAAGGGTATTTAAGATGGAGAATCCTCATTTGAATTCTCAGATACAATCTGCAGATGCAAAGGTGTTTCTTTTGTTTACTGCAGCTTGACAAGGCCTTTTTATTTTTGCCAACCATAAATATTAAAGACCTATTTCCTTCATTTAATTTACATTGTGAAAGTCACTAACTTCTGCTACACAGAGAGGGTAAGTTTGTACCCAAGACCTCTCCTTTCCCACAGCTTGATAGGTAATCTTCCTGTCAGTACAACTAAAAGAGTGGAAGTGTTTAAATCTTTCCTACAGATGCTTCTGCAGGTTATGCTAGCTGACCACGTCCTTGGGGCCAACTGTAAAGCTAAGTTTGTTAGACCAGGAGCAAAGATCCTAGTCCTGTATGCCACAGAGTGGGAAAGAATGATGTACCCTAAAAACTGACCTGAGGCATCTCTGAAGCTGGACAGATCACACATTTTTTGAGCATCGTACCATTCCCATCCCCTTTAGCCTGCAGCCCAGCTCTGCCAAGGTGATGCTGAGACTGAGCATCAAGCCCTGGCTGCAGCCCCACTCACTCTTACGGTAGCAGGAGAATCTCGCACTTCACAGCTGCCCATCATCTCCCGTGGACGATTTCCTCCCTCCCCAACTGTGCTGGTGCAGGATCATTTGCAAGGTCTCTAAACTAGATCTGTGGAATCACTGGCACAGTGATTTCTGGCAGCAGAGAGAGGGACAGTGGAAGTCTCAAGAAGATTAGGCCTAAAGGGGCAGGAGGGAGGAGTGCCTTGACAGTATAATTTCAGGTGACTATACAGTTGGCATTAACCCACAATTCAATGTAACAGCTTCTAGAATAAGATAATTACCTCAAAGTTATAATATTACATACAAACAAAATCTCTTTTCATAAATAGATATATACACCCATATATACACACTTCTAGAACAGGAACTTTATGAAGCTACCAAGTGAACTGAAGCATTTGAAAACTACTTCAATGTACAAGTTCCAGCCAGTCTTTTACTGGTTTTACTCAGTTGTATCAACCAGCACACATTTATCTATAAAGCGCTGTTCTTTATTTAAGTTAAACAAATTTTCAAGGATGGTTTCCATCTATAAAATGAACAAGTACAAGCTCTGTACAGCAGACTTTTCAAACCAACTGAAAAAAACAGTTTTCAAACTATGTTTTGAAAATCTGCAAAATAAACAGTATCACCATTCTTGTTCTGAAGACGGTAAGAAAAGTTCTCAGGAGACTCCATCGCAATTTCCTTCAAGGACTCTTAATTTATCTTTCAAATGGGTGAATTTCTTCAACATTGAAAACCCCTAAAATCACAGTAAGTAACTTTGGCACACTGTCATGTAAACATAACAAAAGGATACCTCTTCTTGTCCGTTCTCTCAAAGAAAAGCGACACACAGCTCCTATATTAAAACCCCTATGAGCAGCACCCATGGGGAATTGAAAAAAATACTGAAAAATATTCCTACTTTATGATTGCTGTTGTCATTAAAGACTAAAGAGATGAAATATGGATTTCTTTTTTTTTTTTAAACTAGCAATTCTGATTGAGAGATAAGAGGCAGGTCAATATTCAGAGTTGCAGCTGCTCATGTCAGTTAGTGCTACCCTTACTTTGATCAAAGTTGCAAATGGAAATACCTCCATGGTTGAAGCTGAGTCACTGGGCTGGTGTTTTTCCCTTTTAAATTCTATTTTTAAAAACCTGAAACAATTGACTTGCTGCTGAGCCCATATTTCAGCATTTGTATTTCCAAATCATGAAGGAATCTATTGCTATGTTTATGAAACATCTTCAAGTTCTCAGCTAGGTTAAAAGGCTACAGGGAGAGACTAAACGCTGAAAACAGTTTAACCACTGCCTGGCCTCTAAACAGGCAAGTTTTTGAGAAAGTGGACTGTGAATGATAAGAAAAAAAAAGTATTAATTATTCATAAAAAGAGTCAGATGATGGATGGGTAAAACTGGATTTAATGCCCCCATCCAAATCCAAACCCCCATGCAGGTACTTGCAAGTCTTAACTTCAGACACACGAGGTCTCTGTGGGCTCACTGACTGGCACTGTTAAAGCCATGTTGCCCAGAAGAGTACCATCCCTACACCTAATGCACAGATACAGCTAAAGGAAAATGAAAAATCAGGAACTACTCTACTCCCAGGACAAAGAAAGAGGGGGACTGTACCAGCATTCTACAGTACAGCACATATTCTTCATCTCCTTACAATCAACCATTTCATTTTTCCAAGATCATCATCTTTCCAAAACCACTTCCTGGCACTTCATGTCTGCACTAATTTTTGTCAATACTGTCTCACTTATTAGTACTTATTTACTTTGCCTTCTCATTTTAAAAGCTCGTTGAAGCATTTGCTTTTAATAGAAAAGTATACAGTCTATGCAAACATAAGAAAGGACACATCAAAGTTGGGGTTAACTTGGACAGTATTATTTTATAAAAATGACATTGGCTGGACTGAAGCTGCAAAATGCACAAGTTCTATGGTTAAAAACACAAAGGCTATGCAGGTATCCAGGCTGACTCCCAGAGCCAACCCTGAATCCACTCAAAAGCTCCATTTAAAGAAACAAAATGAAAGAAAATTCCCCAGTAGTAGGTCTATAGATTAAGCAAGTGCAATTCAGAGATATTACATAGCTGCTCATCCTTGCAAATTAAAATTCAGATCTTGTGCTGTCATCAGTGATGTAACTTATTTCTACAGCTCAAAAGGGGAGTTTGAGACAAATTTTTCTCATTAGGGCCCAGAATAAAACTGTGCTGAACGAACACCGCTGCATAAAAGATCTGTGCGGTTTATATAATTTTATAACAAAAGAAGGAGTATTTAAAAGACTAAGTACTACAGAAATGATCAACACAAATATCAAGTACAAGTTTAACATTATCCAGAGCACATGTAATGAATTTCCAAGTTGGAGTAAACAATCCAAGTGATCATCTGGGCAGAGGCATTGACTTTTTCTGCTATTTTCTTTTTCCTCCTGAGTTTCATGATCTCTCCAGTAAGGGTGAAGTGTTAAGAAGTAGATCCACTTTGCAAAGCAAAAGCATCCAGTGTTAGCACGGACATCACACCCAGTAGCACAAAATCCGCACCTTCATAAAGTTTCTCTCTCCTAGCACTCCAATCCAATTTCTGGTTATACATATGTCAATCACTGTTGATAATTGCAGGATATAAATCATTGGGAGCTGACAATATATATACTTTCATATATTTATATTTAGAGTCCATCATAGAAAAGTTCATATTCAAATTACCAAGTACACACAGGAGAAAAAAAACAACTTCAAAATGACACTTCTGTTTCTGGAAATAACAAACCATGACTTCTATGCAAATGGAGTTTTCAAATGACCTTCTCCTAGTAATTTTTCCCACCCTCCCTCCCACACCCTGTTCCCCACAGGTGTTTCTTCAGATCCTTTTGTTTATCATACGTCAGTTGTTCCTAGAGTTAATTATCTGCTGTGCAAGTAGTAACTGAAGACAGAAAGGAACCTTGAAGGTTGTAGCACAATTCCTTCTTGGTGCGAAGTAATGCTCAGTGCCATCTTTGCAGTGCTCTGAGTTCCCTGGATCCCTGGTGTCTGCTTCAGCACTCTACTTTCAGATAAAGGTGGAATACTGAGGTATATAAGTTCCATGGAAAGTTTTAAGAAATACATCAGTAATTCAATCAAAACTTTGCCCATTGTTTTTCAGTTGAAACAGCATTTTGCTTGTAAGTCCTTCTACTGCTGCAGATTAAGTGTGAATTTCCACTGTTGTGACAAAGAAGGATTGCAGATCTCAACGGTGAGACCACCATTTTTGGCATTTCGGCTGTCTAGACAGAGGTTGCTGCCAACGTGCCTCAGTTTAGAATTGCTTTCAATTTGTTCCCATTTCTGGAAGAGAAAACACAGTTATTGACCTGGAAAGGCAGGAAAAGGAAGAATTCTACATCCTGTCCTTTCAAGTCTTCATAAGCTTCCCTGGCTTGTGCCTGGGAAAGCTGTGAAAACTGCAGTAATAGTAGCAGTTTGATGATTCTTGAATAAGAGTATGTAAGTTATGGCAAGCCTTGCCAAAACAGCTGTTCATTAAGCTAACACTCTGCAAGACATGCAGAATACACCAAGCCATTCTCCTCTAATTCAGAACTTCTCAAATATCCTGTTACCTGCATGAAACCTTTGGTCTGAAGAAAAAACTAAAAATCTTAAAATCCATATGCATACCACTACAATACTGAGCATAGAGAAGTAAGAAGCAGAATCAATACAGACAACTTTACAGAAATGCAGAAATTTGTCAGACATCTTTCAGTTATGCAGAAGACAACCAGTCAGTCAATTTGTGCTGTCAAAAGCTCTTTGCCTAACATGATGTCAAAGGACAGAGTAAATCCCAGAAACAGGATGTTAAAAACCAAGGTTTTTCCTCTTATATTTCTAACATACTGGGCCCTGTAAACCTTATCAAGAAAATCTTGCTTAGTTTCCTGTTCTGAAAAGTGGCAAGAATACTCTTCCCTCATCAAGGACAGAGTTTCAGTTATCTGTGTGCAAACGGAGATGCAGAAGCAAGGAAGCTGGCAGATGATCAGAACTGATGACTTAGCAGAAAGAGATGAATTGCTACATGACTAGATCAAAAAGATGGTATGACTCTGCAAATGTGATTTTCCTCAGGCATGGAAAATAGATGAAGTTACAATACCACATAAATAAAAAAAAATTTAAGGAGTCTAATGCTGTTATAAACAGGTCACCATTGAATAGAAGGAAAGCCAAAGAACACTCTTCTGAGACACAGACTACACAATCTTCAAACTCCATTTAGTAAGACCTTTCAAAAACACACTGTGGAATATAGAATCTATTTCAGAAAACAGACGTGGCAGTTGAAGACTGTTACACATCAGTGCTGTTGGGTGAAACCTTTACATAAGGCCCCTGTCGGGATAGAACCTCTACGTGACAAAAGTGACAAAAGATTATCACTGGCTATGAAAAGAAAAGCTCAACACACAAGCTTATTCCTGCTGCTCTGTCTAGACATCACACATCCTAACTTTACACACATAAACAACAGCATGAACAGTAGAAGCTATAGATGATCACCAGTGCACGTTCTTGCATTCTCATTCACAGCCCTTGTTTTCCCCACTGTTTGCAGAGTGCAGTCACGATATACTGACCTGTCTGCTGTCATTTTCCCTACAGCCCTGAAGTTTTATTAGTGAACCAGGTGCTCTGTCCACAACAGTAAGGCACAAATCCATGTGTTTCACTGACTTGTCCTTTGTTAAGGCCCATTCCTACAAAAAGGAAGACAAAAAAAAAAGTGTACAAAATTGTGTACATTAACGGATGCACATGCTATCTCTGCATATACAGCAAAGGTTAAAATCCTATAAATAGGCATGTGTGAGCATTAGAATTGCTCATTGCTTCCCACAGAACAGGAGAGGAAAAACGTCCTTTCCAAACACAGTAATTCCAATTGCTTCCGTGTCCCCACGTCAGCTCAGGGCTGAGCTGGCTGTCTGCTCCCTCTGCTGGTTTCACACAGCTGCAGCAGGCAGTCACACCGGGCTTCAGATGTAAAAATATTTGTCCAAATATCTATTTAGGTATAAGTTTATTTATGTGTATACATACATGTGTGTGCGTGTTACACCTTCCCCATATCTTCTTTATATATATGTATATATATTTTAAAAAAGGATGTAATTACATACATAAAACCCCTAAAAGCTTGGTCTGCAGCATCACTGGCCACCTACTCACACACTGAACAAAGCATATGGACCACAGTGAGGAAACAGTAGTTCTTAATACAATAGAGATCACCAGAAAGCAATACACAAGAGGGCTAAACTCAAAGGTAGAGGGAAAACGTTCCTTCCTATCCAAGGCACGAGGTACAAAAGAATTTCCGTTAAATGCATTTAAATAGGCAACTCTTAATGAGCAAAGAAAAGCTGTTCTATATGTAACTGTTGCCCAGCTTGTTTGATCTCGGCATCTTCTTACACAGAGCCTGATCTTGCACTGATGTTTAGACTCTCTTCATATGTCTTTCTCCTTCAAATTTGACCTCCAGCATCCCCATTGGTCGTCATTTGTCTAACTATGCTTTGAGGAAAGAAGCCACTTCATTAAAGCCACACTAATTATCCAAATCATGCTTGTAACTACTTAAAATGGCACAATTAGCTTCTCTCAAACAATTAAAGAGGATTTAGTTGTATAATACAAAATCCTAGATACATGGGGCCAAGCCTGGTTACATTTAAATGTTATTTTGCAAGCAATCAGTGTTTCAGAAATAAATTTCATTATTAATCCCATCCCTTTTTTTTAAAAACTTAGCCCTTCATGATATGAAACAGATACTTTCCTTCAGGGATCAGAATCTAAGACTAGCTATAATGGAGATAAAATGAAGCAAGTTCCACTATATCAGAGGAGAAGAAAAGTTTGAAACAGTGTATATGCTCAGGGCACAGCCATAGGATAGCTGTAGTAACACTTTGAAAATCAGGACATCTGAGAAAGCCTTATATACAAGTAAAAAATTCCCTGGAATTTTTTTGGCCTCTAGTGTAAAAGCAAATATTAATAGTGACAAAGGAAGGGGATAATGTGATGCACACCAAATGTATCTTTGGGAGAAGCTATTTAGCCAATCTGTTATAACAACTGATCTGCTAATTTGGGATCATCTTCCTATCACCAGTACATAGTAACTGCTTGAGTTAAAAAGCTTAGGTTCACGTTCACTTCTTTTAAGACTTTTATTGTGAAAAACAAAAATTAATGGCATACAGACCTGGTTTCCCCCGGCATTATGACACTCATAAACTCCAACAACACCATCTGCAAAATGGCCCAAAGTGTCAAGGCAATTGGTACCCTGCTGCAAAGCCCCAAAAGCTATATCTTGATGATCAGGTACCCTAAAACAAAATCACAAATATCTGCTTAATTCAGTTGGGTTTTTTTTGTTGGTTTTTAAGTTTTTCTATAAACTCCTTGGTTTTACTCAAGAGTACTTTTAAGATGAGACGTTAAGGATCAGTGATGACTCTCATCTGGAAATCTCAATCATCTTTTGAGGGGAGGCAATTATCTGATCAGGAACTGATCAAGCACAGGTAAACTCGCAAGCTTAGGACACAATACAAAAAGACTTGTGTCAGAGAATGAGGATAAACATATGAACTCAGCATAAAAATCAAATTAAAATGACTTATTATTTAAGGTGACTCAAAGCTTAATGCTATCATTAAGGTCATCAAAACCTTTTGTCTTTTCAGGTAAGGCACCTTGTGGCAGAAATAGGACATTCTACATTTTTCTCAGACTATTTTTTACTGAAATGTTAAAAAAGCAGTTAGGAATTAAAAAAAAAAAGGAATCAAAGTTTTTCTGATATCTATTTTCTAACAGTTACATATAAAATACACTCATAGTATGGAAATACCTGGGTAAGCTCATTCAGCAAAGCACAGCTGTGGGGTAGAGCCCATGAGTTCATGGGCATATCAGAGCCTTTAAAAACTTCAGACTAATATGACTATAATAATTCAATCCAGCAGAATGAGCACATGAGGGATGACACAGAGTAAGATGACATTACACTTCAGCAGTACTTATGGTAGCACATTTTCCAGGAGAGTTTGCAAGACACATTTTTTCTGACAAATTAAACAAAACCAAATATCCTCTGGCACTTTTAAGAGAAAATAAAGGAAAACTTATTTCCTCAGTATCACCCTGGTTTATGAGACTCCTTAGTATGTGTGGTACTGTATATATTTCACTGGAGCTATAATAGCTGGTGCTTTTGCATCATAGCCTATACATCTATCACTAGCAGTTACCTGAATTCACTGAAGTGAAGTGCCATCAGGAAAAAACCACCATGTATTCTTACAAGCTACACACAGTATCTTGCACCATTACACTACTAACTGGTTTATAGACTCAGATCTGACCAACATACTTATTAATGGGCTATTTAACCACAACCTTTGTATCTTTTCAAAAATGTTTCTCTTCAAGGATTTTTCACTAGTTAGGATGCATTCATGTTAGAGGAACTGTTAGCAATATTATCCCTCACTTCCCTCTTCTCACCCCTACCCAAAAGTCAGTGATTATCCAGTGACAAGAGACTCAGTTTCTTAGAGTCTTAGCATCTGCCCTTGTCTGCCAACCATACAAGGCCCTCTTGTCTGCTGACTCCTGTTACTTGTACTATACTGAGATTCAGTCTCCTTACTCAACTAGGCATGTGCTTAGGCAAAGGCACAAGCTTTAAAGGGATGACAACAGGATACAGAACAGCGTGCTTTTGAGCAAATGGTTTGTGTAGGAGAATAACTTCTAGGTAAGTTGAGTCCTTTGGACACTGTTCTCTAATATATCTGCTACTGCAGCTGTAGTTGCAGTAATTAGAAAAAGAAAAAGCAGCTTACTAGGGAGAAGTTACTCTTAAGGGACAGAACTAACAAAACCAAAAAGCAAATAAGCATGCATGAGGCATTGCATTCACAGATAAATTAAAAAGCATCCTTCACGTCCAAGGAAGGAGAAACTGATAATTTCTGGGGAGGCCAAAAAGAGAACTGCATACTAGTGTCAGCCAAAACTCACCGTAACTCAGGATAAACATTTTCAAGATACCACTTGAAGGGTTTGCAGCTAAGTCTCTTTCTGAGTTCCATTCGGCTTTGAATACTAGAGGAGAAAAAAAAAAGTAGTTTTCAAAGTCAGGCTGTTGTCTTCATATATGTTATGGAATACACAGAAAACTCAAGAACAGCTGAATTGTTGAAATAAACTGTAAAGCGACAACACGAGAGCCAGCACTGCTTTCACCTCAGAAGGTGCTGTCTCATGAAGAATAAACAAACAGGGCAAAGAAGCTCTTGTGACTTACTTGCCATAAGGTACATTCCTGGCTGAAGGCACTGCTGCATAATAGAAATTTTTATACTCATCCATCCAGACTTCTGCTGCCCTGCGTGTATTTCTAGGAACAATCATATGAAACACATGGGTTATACTTTCTCGAAGTGCAATTAAACCATGTAATTTATCCTCGGTTTGATTTTAATCCTTCCTAGTACTACATAGTTAGCTGCCTCAAGCCAGGCAGAATAGTCCCTATAAAGGACCCAAGTAATAGAAAACCATTAGAGACTAACATAACTGAAATAAATGCATTTAGAAAAATTTTTTTGTCTTTTCCACACTCATCACTGCTTTGGGTGTTCATCCAGAATTTAATACACATCTTGGAGTTCTTTCTGCAAACTTCATGGAATTTTTTACGCTGGTGTTTGGTTGGGGTTTTTTTAGTAAGAGTAACTTCACAGAAGCCAAATTTAGTGAGTGTTCACCTGGATAAAGCAAGCTAATTGGAAACATAAAAATCCCAACAATTTTTGGCAATATTTAATAATGTCTTTTACCTTTTTGAAAGCAGATACGCTAACATAGGCAAGACATTTTCAGTCTTCATCCTATTCCTACCAGCACAGCATTCAAAGTTCCAAAAAGACATAAGCTACCATGAAGTTTAAAGCTATGAACAAAACAAGGTCAAATCTACAAGTCTGCTGTACCTGAAGTAAGAGAAGAGAAGAAGGAATCAAAAAATATTTTTAATTCATTAAAAGTCAAGAGAGATTATTGCAATTAATGTGAAAAAAACCACTACCCCAAATGCTTTACTTCTAATCATACACATCTCTAACTGAAATTCCTTTATTTATGTAACTCGTGTCTTTAAACCTCCTTTTGGACTGCAAAAGTGCAATGGCTTTTTCCATTCCCTTGATTCCATGTAAAACTCATTTACTTTTATTGTTCATAATTTTTGCTTAGAAAATTAAGTCTCATTTCACTTGAAACTGCCATGTTCTGAAGCTTATTTTACATTTGGCAGCAAGTTCATCTAAAGCAACTGGAGTAAACTCAGTGAGCCAACAGCTTCTCTAATATGATTTTCCAATTCGAAAGACAAAAGTAGTCAGGATAAGTGAGGAATCTTGCAGGTTGCCGACAAAGAATAATAATGATAGGAATAAAAATGTCACAAGACAGATCTGAATAATTTTTTGTTTGAGGACTGATTTTTTTCTTGCAAAGATTCCTTTAAATTTTTGTAAGCAAAATTCCACTCAATTTAGATTAGAAGGTATGTCAGTTTATCTTCACCTGCAGTCTCTCAGACCTGTGTCAGTGTCAACCACTCAGCACCTGCCCCTCTTGCTTGCTCAGCAAGCAGCTTGCCTGCCCAAAAGCCAAACAGATTTTGGTGGTTAGAGAGGAACTATTTGGTTTGCCAGGATTTAATGACTCCAAAGGCACTTTCAAGGCCAGAATACATGCCTGCATTATTATGCTTCCCTACACTCAGGGATGAACAGTTAAGGCTTAGTGTGACATCAATACAGGCACTGTGTAGATGCTGAGAACTGCCTAAACTAATAAGGCCCCAAAGAAGGCAGGGTGCTGAGGAGCACAGCATAGAGTACACTTAATGCTGAGCCACAGTTAATGAAACTGAGCACCAAGCAATGAGGTAGCTTTGCACAGAGCAGACTGGGGTCTGCAAGACTTACTGGTTTGCTGAAGTGGTTTATTGAAGCAGTGCACACTGGTCTAGCCAATCCTGCCAGACACAAGCTGTATCTGCCCACACCACACAGCCAGGATGTGGTCTCCCCTTTCATGAAACAGGACTCCCAGTCTCTCATCCAGAATTACCAATTTGTTTTGGCTGCCAAAAGGCAGTGCATACTGACTAGCCAGCTAAAAATAGGATGGTTACCCAGAGCAGTCCAGAATAAATTGCATATAGCCAAGGGAGAGATGATAGCATAAGCCAACAAGTCCCAGCTGCAAGACCAGAACAGATTCCACGCACTAAGTTTCTTGGCAGCATGGTCCTACATATATCTGATAATACCTGTATTACAAGGATATCCCATTACCTTAGGTTTATCATTCTCTTATTGGTATAATTGATTTTAAGGCATTCTGCTTTATAGGTTTGACATCCAAAAAAGCTAAGTGAGGAGGAAACCTTCAAATATACAACCTGTAAACCTTGTTTTTAAGTGATATACAACTCTTCTAGGTCAATTCAAAAATAATTCCATTGAAACAAAGAATTTAAATGGTATTTCAGAATTTGAGATAGCTGGACAGATAAGGACAAAGGTAATAAACCACTTTCAGAGAAAGACAGAGCTGGAAAGGCATCTGGAAAGGGTAAGTACCCAAGACACTAGTTTGCAGGCTTCAGCTGTCCTCACCATTCAAGTACATGTGGGATCTCTTTGCAAAGTAATTTTGAACACAAATGACTTAAACTTGTCACAGTAATTGTGAAGACATTTGAGAGATCAAATAAAAATGATGATTTGACTTCACAACAAAATCAAAAAGCTGTAATCCCAATGAATGCAGAATCTTCAACCCATGCCAATATGATGCATTGCTCTACCCTGCGTGCATACAGCCTCACCTTTTTCCTATTTTTCCACTGGGCTATGTTTAAGTACCTATTTACATCACAAGAAAAGCAGCATCTTGGCAACGCCTCAAAGACAGAAAAGTTGCAGGAGTGGGAAAGCTGCACATTATATTTATATATTTATTCACTTTTGTTAACCATGCTCCTTGTTATGATGTCCATTTCAAAACCTCATGAAACTAAACCAGTTTCATCCTAAGCCTATATGATGCAGTTTAATTGGTAGATCTTTCTACCCTCTCGATGCACATGATAAATGCTGGAATGGAGATGTGATGTATTGAGGATATTTCACTGCTAGCTTTTGTTTTCCCATAAGCACTATTATTAATTTTTCACTGCAGCATAAAATACAGATCTCAAAGAATAGGGGAGCAGAAAAAAACCCTACTATAACTAGTGGAACAAAGAGGACAGTGACTTTATTTTAGCAGACTATTGAATTCACTAAAGTCACCTTGGTGGTATAATCAGCATGGAAGGGAAGAAAGACACCCTAAGGAGATTCCTCAGTCTAAAGTGAATCACAAGTCCAAAAATATCAGGAACATTCTTATAAATTTAAGAACATCTGCACTCTCTGTGTTGCTTCATGTTAAACGGAGTTTGGGCTCCATATCCCTTCAAGGGTAAAGAAACAGTTTTATTTCCAGCTCTTAATCTACAGAATCTTTAGCAGAAACTTGTACTTCTTCACCCCCTGAGCACTATGCATTCTCTAAACCATTCTCTAAACCAAAACCTACAGTGATTCTTCAGCTATAGCTGATACAGCTTTGATCAAAACGTCCACCACAGTCACATAATACTTTTATCCACATTAATTAAAAAACACTATGAACATAAATCAGCACTGCTATTTTCACTTTAAAAAAGAGAAACTGAGGAGACAGCTCAGTATTTCAGCTACTGCTGCACGTTGTACCAACAGCAAAATTAACCAGCATAATAATCTAATCCCTTAAAACTGCAGTTTCTTTGGTCTATAGAAAAAGCATCTTCAAACACAGCACCGGAAAGGCAAATGAGAGAGAATGAAGTTGCTAACAGACTGGCACAAATATCAGAATCAGTCTACATAATCATTTGCATCTCACATACTGACCATGCATTAACAAAAAGCAAGCACGTTCATAACTTATTGTATTCTGGTTCTTAATGAACAATGAAACTGTTTCTATAAAATGAAGTTTTATGATACAGTTCTGAAAATAAAGCCTTCTTTAGAACCAAATAAACAGAAAGTGCTCAATAGTGATGGAATGCCAAGTTAAGCATTTCCTTCTTTTACAGATTCTCAGTCTGGGTCCACTAGAAGTTTCCCTCTTTCAACTCAGACTCTTCTCCCAATCTATAATAACTGCCTCAAAGTCATTAATTTATTTTAATTAATATTTTTCTATGATAGATAATATTGCATATATTTCTAAAGACAAGATCCCTAAAATGAAATTACTGCCACCTGCTGATCATCTGAAGAAATCCAAAACATTGCTATTTAGCTGAAGCCTTAACAGTTACCTTGCAAACACGGTACCACTCCCACCAGGAAACGTGTAAGGATGCTGTTTGCGGAATACATGACCCACTCTGCTGCAAGGGATGATTTCTAGGCTCCCACCACATTGCCAAACTCTGAATGAGATCTCTGAAATAAAAACAGGAATGAAAGACCAACATCATAAAACACTGTAATTTTGTAGCATACTATTTACAGAGAAGGTTTTTACTGACTATTGCTGAGAAGATCAGTAAGGCAGTTTTCTGATAAATTCTAGGACAAACAAAGGCATACCTGAGCATTTCTTATTCTGCAAGGTCATGAGAAATAATTTTATTAACTTGGAAGCAAAACTGTATGTTTTCTCCTATCTGAAGTTACCAGAATTCCCCAAATCCATAAACCATGATGTGATTTGCCAGAGTGAGTTAAGTGTATGTATACTATTGCTATGCTCTGCCTGAAGGGTAAACAACAGTAGGTACACTTAACAGATAAATTAGTGATCTAGCTTATAATAAAATTTTTCAGCTGAAGACAGAATAACACAGTGGACAAAAATCAAGGTATAATAAAACAATCAATAGATTCAAGCTCCTAACTTATTATAGTACATAAGCAAACACTCCCAAACATTGGCTGTAGAAGGAGCTATATCAAGTCTATATCTTGACTTGAAGATAGACCAAATAAAGACAAAACAATCATAAATTGAAGGTTATGGACAGTACACTTCTAAGCCAATCCAGTGATCTGAACCAATTAGTGATGACAAGAAGGTCTAGAAATATTTATACACTTTTCTCAACTTTGGCCTTTGATAGCAGAAGTCACCTACTACTGACAGAATGTTTCCTCATTCATTCCAACTAAGTGCAGTAAGAAGGGTGCTTCCAGTAGCACTGTTTCAATTTTGATGATTCCCCCTTTAGCCCAGCAGCTGTTGCTAGATAGCCTTAGTTTCAAGCCTCTTCATAATCAGTCTTACCACAGATTTAAAAAAAATGGTCTGCCCAGAGAAATAAAAATAAATAAATAAATATATAAAAGAGGTGCTGTGATTTCAGCAGTGCAAGTTAACTGCCATTATTCTTGATGGTCTCTGCTTGCACAAGGATCATTTCCTATTTGTTTTTCTTCAGTGACAAATTCTGACGCGTAGGGGCCAATTAGGCATATTCATGTACCTTAGACAGTCAACATAGTCCAATCTATAGACAGATTATCCTCCAAAATATGAATGACTGTACTGCCCTTGACAGTAACTTACAGTCTTGATTTTCCAGTTGAATTCATGTAGGACAACAGGCAAAACTGATTTTTAAAGCAAAGATGACATTCACTCTGTACATTTTTCAGAGCACTGACTTCAGTATTGCACCTCTTATTTTGAGAATGAAAAAGAATCACAGTAAATGACTGGTTGCTGCTAAAGAAGTTAGAAACATAAAAGTGCTTTTGCTACTACAAGATTAAATTACACATGGATAGAAGACTTTAGGCTTTTCCATATCTAGCTCAAATTTGGTCCCATGTTGCTCAAACAGTGAAAGCAAAAGAGTAATAGCTTTCTTGTACCGTTTTGAAGCATTATTTATGGAGTTCTGCTATAAAGTTCATACAGTTATTAGCCCAATATGAGGGGATACTGCACTCTGTAAGAACAGCCTAGTGAAAGACGACAGAAAGATCTGATCAAAGACAAAGGGTTTTGCATTAGACAAGCAAGTGTAGACTAAATGCTTGAAATATAGTATCAAACTTATTTAAGTATTAGTAAATACATGGTTATGAAAGAGATGGACTGAAATCCTAGTTAAAAATAAAGGTCAATGCAGTATGCCTCAAGCTCACTTTTTAAAAAGATTCATCTGAAGGTTTAATCCAGAAAGTCACTGTCATCTATTAAATGTATGTAGACATTGAAATAGTATTTTTGTTTTACAAGTAAGTTAGAAATGTTTTGTGTCAATTTTTTTCATTATTCATAGCTTCTTTTACTGTGTACAATAATTTCATTAATTCTCCCTCTATAAATTCCCAGAAACGTAAGCCTACACATGTATATTTTCCAGCACCTTAGACTGGGAAGAATCACAAAAAAAGGTGAAAATTATTACAGATAGCTCTATGGGAAAGGCAGCAAAAGGACTAGCATATAGGGAGAAGCAAACTAATTCTTATTTGCACCAACATGGCTTCTAAAGCCTGCATAGATTTTTAAAGAAAAAAAGAATATACAGCATCTAAAATCCAAAACAACCCCACAATCCCAAGGCCAGACTGAATCGGGCTCTGAGCAACCTGGTCTAGTGGAAGGTGTCTCTGTCCATGGCAGGGGGGTTGAAACTAGATGATTTTCAAGGTCCCTTCCAAACCAAACCATTCTATTATTCTATGAAGCTCCCTGTTACAGGTTAGAAATCCAAAGGGGGGGGAATTTTTCTTCCCCCTGCCCCCACTGTAGGAAAGACCAAATTTGAATGGAAAGGGGGGCGATTAGCTTTACAAAGGACCTAGCTGCTGAGCTGCATTCCTTCTGAACGGCCCATCAGAGACTGGGGGGAGGGGGGAGGAGTTTTGGGGAGGAGCTGGTCCTCCTCACAAAGGAGAGGACAGATTGCTGGGTTTTGAATGGAGACTGGGGTTTTGAATGGAGACTGGGTTTGCATGCGTGCATTTGGAGAAAAAAGCCTAGAGGCCGGTCTTTCTGGCTTCTCGTCCTGGTCAGCCCTGACCTCTGGCCTCAACTTGCTTGCAAGCTGCCTTTGCCTCCAGCCCGAACCTGCTGTGTTTTCATCGGAGAGTTTTGTGCTCACTGGGAGAAAAGGAGGAGCCTTGAAACATCATCATCTGAGAACAACAGTGAGTTCCATGGGGGTGGACTGTTTTCCCTTCTGCCCTTCTTCCATTGGGGGAAGGGTCCCCGTTTTCTTTTCGGCTTGTCTGCGATCCGAGACCACCCCAGAGCCCTCCCCGTGCAGTGACCGCCAGAGCCCGACAGCGCCCCCTGCAGGCCAACACCGAGCACTGCAGGCTCTGCACCTCCATTGATCCAACAGCGCCCCCTGCCGGCCGTGATTGGAACCGCGCTGAAGGACAGAGAAGTATTCAGACTGTTTCTTGTGTTTGAAGGGGACTTTTGGGTACAGGACTATTGTCTAGGGGGTTTTTTTTGTGTTCCGTTACTGTTCTTGCCAACATACATATATCTTTTAATAAAGGGTTGTTATTTCTTCTTTTTCTCTACACTTCCTCGATTAGAGCCCCCTTAATTTTGGATTTACAATTGCTGAGAGAGAGGAGTTTGGTCTGTCTCATAACTCATCCTCTTTAGCAAACATTCCAGTCTTATCAAACTGAGACACTCCCTTAAAGCATCTTCGTCACATTCCAACAGTGGGAGGAGAAATGTTACTATTGTAACAATTTCAGCGGATGTAGTTTGTAATTGAAAAGGCAGAAAGAGTATGTAAAAAATTCTTTGATATTATATTACACCTCTCTAACAGATTTGTTCTATGTATTATAGTGTGTCATCAGTAGAGAAGGCAGGGAATGTCTTAATAAGAAAAATTAATAGGAAAATTAATTACAAAATTAATAAGAAAAGCACAGATTTTCAAATTAGACCCAAACCTTCTAATAGTCCACCCAGTTCTCCAGCATACTCTTATTCTCCTAGGCTTAACAAAAAGCATCATGAAGATGGTAAGAATTAGAGTTTATGATTTGAGACAAGCTGAACTAACCTTGATCCACATTTCATACAGCAAGCATGTGGTATCAGTCACATTTAGCAACAGTCTGAAAATGCACCTATCTTCATGGTAATTTGGCCAATTCAGGCAAAATACTGCAGGTCCATCTTGAAATTTGTCAAATTTAGACTATATTAGCTTGTGAACAAAACCTCATATAAAAGCTGCTCTGTACATTCTTGGGAAAAAAGCTAACTTTTGTAAAATGAATAAAATGTGCAGAATTATTTTGCAAGTCCATTTAGCAGTTTATTTGCATGTAATACTGATCCATCGATTCAGAGAGCCTGGAGGCCTGACAAGTGTGCACGTTAAATTTTAAACTGTACATCACAGATTTCCAGTATCTGGTGTATGTGCCATTTATATCATATGCCATGTGGTTTTTACTTGTCTTCAGTTAGTATGACAGCTAGGAAAAAAATCATTAGCTGCCTTCTGCCTGCTTTTCAGGAATCCCTAAGTCTCCATCTCCTCCTTCCTGTGGAGGAAGGGGATCAGAATGCAGCAGGAGCAACATAAACAACTTTTTGCACCCTTGAGTGAGGAGCCATTGCTTGTGCCCTTTCCTGCTATCAAGGCCTCAATTATCAAAGCATAAACGTAGTTGATAAATGTTCAGAAAAAATTCAGTTGCTCAAGTACATGTTTGTAGCTAATCAAATATTTAAGCGCTCTAGTGGCAGGAGTGGTTTTCAGAGTGAATAGGAGCATTGCTGTAGGAAATTTATCCAATGACTTGGCAGGACGTTTAAAAATGACAAATTATTGTACTTATATTAATACGATTTAGCAATTTACAGCCAGAATAGTGAAACAGAAACATGGAATGTAATTGTTCAGAATACCTAAAAGATTCTTCAAGTACTGCATAGGATGGTCAGAGACAGGACTGTAGGGATGCCTCTTCCAACCTTAGTGTGTTACAGTAGTGTTAAACATTTGGTTACTGTATCTCCATACTTAGTGTGCTGCATACAGCAGAAATTTCCTTGTAGACCAAGCATATGCTTAATGCATATGCAGATTTCAGTAACTCAAAATACTCATGGGTTTTTACAAGTTTGAGGTATTTTAGGATTTTGTAGCTGGCACGTGCAGTAGAGAAGCTTCTATCATTAGAACTTTTCCTAAAACACACTATTTGGACCGTTTGAGATGCATCTCTACTCGGAAAAACTACACTAATGACAGACTGGAAGTCTCGAGAAGTTTTAGAATTCTGCTGCTTCCAAATCTTTTTTTGTTTTCACACAATTATACCAGTCTTAACTAGAGAAAAACTTTGTTCAATACCGTAATGCAAATAGCCAAAAAAACCCAAACCTACTAATGCCAGATTTAACCAGCAGGTCAAAGCAGAAGTGGCTAAAGCACAAGTTCTTTCAGGCCCTCCTCCCTCTTGCTTAAACCTCACTCACTTAAACATCTGAAAATAAGGAATTACAGAAAAAATGCCTTCTCAACCATCATTATCTCCTAGGGCTAAAGCAGCAGCACAAAACTACAAAACTCACTAAGTTTAGATGTCAGGCAATATTCTATTGCAAAGGTTAAGAAACAGAATCAGGAAAACCATGACTCTGTGACAGTATAGGCAATGACAAAACCTGCTCTCTTTCAAGACTGATCAGAAGGTAAACAATATACATACCTAAGTTTTCTCCACCCCAAACATCCATCATCATGTCATACTTTCCTAATTCTTCAAAATAGGATTTGTCCATCACAAATAACCCACCAGCTATCATAGGTGTCCTAAACAAATAAGAAAAATTAAATTAAATACTTACAGAACCATGAACTGGGGGTCACTATTATTTGCGCATCAAGGCTAATATCTCCTCGAAAAAACTGGCAATGCTTTTGAATGCAACTAATTTTGCATCTATCACATCAAATGTTGTCTGCACTCATTTCTATGGCACATACAGTGCTATTGCCACTTTCTGAGGCAGCTTCAAAATTCCCATTTGGTTCGCAAGTTCCTTATGTAAAGGGTGGCAATTTGTGCCAACAATAAAACATTAAAACCAATGCCGTATTTTTAGTCCTCAAAATACATAAACTTTAAACAAAGTGACATCTACTTTTTCTTAAGGGTAAATAATTTACCAGTGTGTTTTAAACTATTTTTTAAAATACAATTTATTTCTGGGAGTCTCACAAGGTTCCATAAATATGAATGAAATTTCAATATTGATGAAAGCTATAGTAAAGATCCTCTTTCAGATTCAGAGATGATGATTTCTAACTATCTTTAGTTGCAAAATTAGTCTGGTCGAGAAATGGTGGTACAGACATACTTTATGGGAGCAACGGGATTTCCTTGTCGTGCTCTTCTTTGCTCTGGTGTCATGTAATCCCACTTGAATACAAGGTTCCAGTCAAAGCCTTCAAGAAGAAAAATAGGATGTTAAAAAGACTGCGGTCATCATTCAACTTTTAGTAACAATGTTGACTGAAAACATGGGGAATTAAAAATTTAAACTTGTACAAATTTCTGTGTAGAAAACAAACAAGTAGGAGACCAGGTAAATAGTACAAATTTCTGGGTAGAAAACAAACAAGTAGGAAACCAGGTAAATAAGTTGACTGGACAACAAAAAAAGAGTAATCAAATAACTTTGATTTCTCTTGTCATCATCTATCACACAAAATAAGAAACCCAGTCAACAAGTGACAAATAGAACATCATATGAAGATCTTCCAATCTTTACAAATGCTCCCAACACTTTTTACTGCACAACTGCATTTCCACTCTTAATAAGTGATCACATATTTATGTTTGCACAGCCTTTATGCAGTACTCTTGGTACTCTATCAGCAAGAGCACTCTTTCATGAAGGTCACAACAAGTTATGTAGGTCCTACTTACCTTCTTAACATTCATTCAACTTCTTACTTTCCCACTGTCTTTTTAAGTGTATAATTTTTTAAACCTAAGGCAAGCGCTAGAGCACCAAAATCTTACTTAGCTTATGCATGTACATAAAAGTGTGTACACACAGCAACAGCTGGTCTGGTCCTGTCATGAGTTAAGCACAGAAGCCCATAAAGGTCACTAGAACAGACATGATCAGTAGGTCACCTATAGCAGCTTCCTACCTAACAACCATTAAATTAACTCCCTTAGGCAATGATGCAGAGTTGGTATAAGACAAACCTCTTATAGGAAACACTTTCATAACAGTTTTTGTGCTGGGTTATGCCCATAAGCATGAACATTTATTAAAAAAACTGCACAAGGTCCATAGCCCTCTCCCAGTACACCTAGAAAAGCAGTCTTGCAGATTCTGCCTGCTGCCAAACACATTTAGATCCTGTGAGGTCATATAATGAATGATTTCCAGATTTCTGGAGCACAGATGTCAATACTTTTCTTTCTCCAGCATAAAGATAAAGAAATTATTTTGTGGGGAAGTGGAGAAAAAAGCTGAAGTAAACAGACAACAATTACAGTCATACAAACTATCTGTCTGCATCTGTAAAGGTGCATACTAATGACTGATGTAGAAAGTTGAAAATAAAGCAGTTTTCATTGTAACTCACAAGATATTTAACACACACAATACAGAAATTATCCTGAACAGTCTTTACAGCATGTATGCCAGCTCTTTCTCTACATGTTTGACTATTTCATGAAGTGTTGCACTGTAAAAATGAAAGACTGTCTAACTACTTCAAAACTCCAAGTAGCAAAACAGTAAAATGGCTACAACCTACAGTACTGCAAAGCCTCCAGCAAGAAGAGTAAAATGAGTTCCAGTATTTCCATGTGGTTAAAAAGTCACATTTCATCACACATACCCAGCAAAATTACTTGCATCTGGGAGAACTTGGAAATTCTACTGTTCTCCAGCAAAAGCAGAGGGATAGAGTTACCATATACTCCAGTGAACACAAGGGGTCTCTTTTGGAACACAGCACTTTCACAAACTGAACAAGTGTATTAATTCTCTGTCCATTAAAAACTGGTTTTCCATCTCCATTTTCACAGACTCTGGGAAAAATCTGCTCTCAATGAGATAGTATCAGTAACTCTGTAAAAGGAATATTTTTAAACACAAGTGCATACCCAATATGAAATTCTATCCAGTGTAAACTGCATCACAGGCATACTCTAAATTATTAGATCTCAGTTAACTACAGTTTATTCCAATAATTACAGTATTTCTCAGTGTGGCATAAATGCCCTGTAAACTCCCCCCCCCTCAAAAAAAAAGTGTAACATGAAATGCATGGATTTAGTATTGGCCAGACTTGGGAATTATTTCAGACATGTCCACTTAAAAAAAAAGTGTGTACCATTTGCTAGGTTGCTTGTCTTGGGTGATTAAGTCCTTTCAAAACAGACCAGGCACAAATGCTGTCCCAGCTGTTTCAGCTCTCCATGCTTCAGCCACACAGACACTGTATCTAAGGCTGAAAGCATAGACTGGTTTCCATGTTTAGACTTGGCCTCAGTGAAAGTGTTCTGTGATGCCAAATGCTGTAGTGCCTCTAACATGGCAATCTGTCCTCTGGGAACTGACAAGAAATATATTATTCATATTTCAACTGACCCTCAAATAGCTTGAAAGGTTGGTACGTGCAAAATTTCTATTAATGTTAAAAAAACCCCCCGAGTTTCTCACTCCTCAATCCAGAAAGTACATAGACTTCATTCACTTTAAAAAAAATTAAAACCCCAATCTATTTCTATTGTGTACAAGGAGAGAAAATGAGTACTGAAAAGAAAGAGATGAATGAATTGGGAGACATCGTTTCAAAGATAAAGTGTGAAGAGCAGTAACAAGAGAAACAATCTCTCAATCTTCTCGCACTTCACTTGGGAAGAACTTAAAGAGCATGAACCCAGCAGCAACCTATCTAAGGTTTCAAGGAAAGAATTCTTCCTCCTACTGCAGACAACAGTAAAAGCCACATAATGGTATAGAGATTTCTGTACTCAAAGTTTAATGAATAGACTGGGTAAAGGCCTTAAGGTTTAGTAATGCTGGCACACAGATAATAGCACAGAACTATACATTAGCATACTGTGAATATATGCACCATATAGGTGTCATTTCAAAACATTAATAAGAAGGACATAGAACCTCCCACCTCCAGATCACTGATGAACTTGTAGCATATGCAACATTATGCAAATATTGCTTTTATTTTAGTTAACTGGAACAACACTTCATGGCCAGTTAGAGACCAGAACCTAAAAGAACAGGCTTGAAAATGGCTTTTGGCTTCCTCACTCAAGAAAGTTCATTCAGAAAAAGTTGAAACACTGTGAGAAGAGCACTCTAATTTTTATATCATGGTTCATCTCATATCTTTATGCAGACGGTTCAGTTTCCAGGGTTGTGGGAACAATTATTTACAAATAAAAGAAAAAAAGGGATAAGTGGGCAGAGAACAGCTGTTTTAAATACTAGATTCTTATTAGCAGTGAAAGAAGTTTTAAAAGCCTGTAATAAGTAAGGATTTTAGCATGTAGTTGCCTTCTCCCTTCTCTTTGGAAAAGAAGAGGGGAGGAATTTTTGGTATTTATTTTTATTTAGGGCTTTACAAGTCAACAGTTTATACTAGCTACACATATCAAAACTGTAGTTTTTCTAAACTCAATTTAACAGGGAATTTTTTAATGGCAATGATATAAACACTAAAAATTTTCATGGTATGTTAGTCTCTTCACAATTACAGATCATGGCTAACAAACACTTATTTCTTTTAAACACATTCCAAAGCTTTCTGCTTATTCAGAAGAGTTGAATTTTTTAAGCAAACCAGCATCTTGAAACAAACCTCATAGACACTGCGTTGTTGATGGGCTTCTAAACTAGTAAGCAATTAAAGCCTATCTTATCTAAAATGAGAATGACAAGCTCTGACTATAAGCTTCTTCTGACATTTACACAACCCTACAAGCATTGGAGCGAGTCTTACATAGTCTTACATACTGGTAAAAGGCAGCATAAACTTACAAGAAATAGTATAACAAAGATGAACTGTTTTAAAGCAGAGAACAATAAGGCCAATTAAAATCCAAGGCAAGAAACAAATGACCTACAGAACTTAGAACTAGATCTATGACAGCGAAGAGCGGTATGTTAATTGCCCATTCTACAACTGCAGTGATTATGAGCTTTGATTCTTGATGCTTTTTTTTAAAATCTGTATTCCAGTACAGGTACATACCGCCTTTTAAATCAGCTGACGCCCCCACGTACTGGAAGTTGTCCATATTAATTACATCAATAATGGGAGACACAACTCTGGTCTTGTCCTAAAATAAATATTAGAAAGTAATATTGAAATAATGAAATCAATATATAAAGACTCAGACAGGATGTGATGTTGAACAGTTCAGCAGGATTTAATTAGCATGTCTCCCCCGGCTCTCCCTCTACTTCAGCTTACGGCTCTGAACAGTCACTGCTGTGAACAGCATTGCTCAGCATTGCTTTAGAAAGCAGAAACCATACGATATGACTGGAAATCCTCCTTCTATTCTAGGCTACTTATATTCAAGTAAGCCCCCTCTTCTGACTTGCTCTTGAAGAAGGCAGCAAACTTGTAGTTCTAAAAGGAGTCGAACAAACAGCACTTCTATTCTTACTTTTAAAACCAGCTCAAAGAAAAGAAGCATCCAGGGAATTCATATTTTCCACAACAAGTCTCCAGCCATGCAGTGTACTATGGTCCTATTATTTCAACCTTTAAGGAAGACTTAGGCCTTTCTGCAATCAGAAAAGTCTTAGGTTAATGCCAACCCATTTCACACTAGAAGAATTACACTTCAATACTAGAAACTCAGACAGGAAAGAGAACCTAAAAAGCACCTCAAACTAACAAATGCTCTTAATTTCCAGCAGCCAAGATTCCAGTGGTACAGATAACCGCACTCCTCTGTCCAACCGTGGTCTCGTATACTATTCTGAGCCACGTTAATTTCTTTAGCTGATGTTTTTGCCAAAATAGTTTAAGAACAAAAATCTTTCCAACAACTCCACATGCATCATCAAGTAGGATCACAAGACCTCAGTCTAAAAAAAGACTCATCTAATGTTAGAAATGCAGTATCATGGTTAAGCCATTTTGTCTCCATGGCTTATTGCTTGAATTCAAAACAGAAGTTTTGAGCTGCACAATTTAACATCATTCAGAGAGCAGATAACTTCAGAACAGTGTATCACCAAATCTGTGAATATAAAAAAAATTTTTTTAACAAACCGAAGATGTTTTGGTAACCTCTGTTATAGAGAAAGTGTTCTCAAGGTTAAAAAAAAAAAAATCACCTAAATGTCACAATTTTAAGAATTTATGAGAACTTATTTTATAAGTACATATTCAAACAACAACATATATATTCTAAACAGTGGTTCAGCAATGTATTTCCCTTGCTAATCAGTATTATACAGATCAGATTGAGTCAAACTAGCACGAGAATAATTTGAGTTCATAAGACTTAAAAGCAAATCTTAGTCAAATGCTTTGCTTGGTCCAATAAGGATATTTAACACTCATTTTCTTTTATTGAGCCTTAACTATTCAATCTGTGCTGATTTTAATAAACCCTAATTTTATAAATGGCATTTACTAGTTCATTCTGCGTGAGTAAGCAAAAGGTCACGAACTTCTTTATCAGCCAAAAGAAAAATCCAAGCAAACTTAAGAGAATCCAAGCTGAAGACTATGCTAAAAGCTGAAGATACAGTATTCATACCTACATTCCCTTTTAGTATCACCACAGGTATATTACCCAGGCCCAGTATCTGTTTTTATGAAGATGGATTATAACACCTAATCTGGTCTGCTACTAAGTATTAACTAGTTTGGTCTAAAGCAAAGTAGAAACACAAACAAAAAAGGCCAACCTGTCCTATTCCCCCATCGATCACATCTTTAGCTCCTGTTCCTATTAGCAGTAGCCTCAAGCCCAAGTTTGCAATGATAAGAACACAGTATCGGTAACTGTGTTGTACTTGGGAGGCAATTACAGTTTACTGCACCCTCACTGCAAAGTACTGCATATATGTACCTTCCTATATCACTGAAGTGCTTCGGGTGTACCCACGCCCTTATTTTAGGCATTCTGTATAGAGTGACAAAATTAATAAACTCCTTTAAATAAAGACTGATGAGGCAGAAGATATCCAGCCTATTCAGTTATTCACAAGTACCCATGAGCATAAAATACAAAAATGAAAGCACCCTTCCTTTCCTTCTTTCTTTCCATAGCGGGAACTGCGACAGCTTATAAATCTATGCCCACCTCTAAAAACATTTTTTGACAAAAGTTTATGTTTCTCAAATGGTTCTACTTGGCAGGGTTGAACCTGATGGTAAAAGTTGCCCAAATCATCAGGTGTCACATTAGGCAGAGATTCATTTAAGCTTCAACTTATCTCTGCTGTGCCAAGTAAGCAGGGAGTATATTGTGTCTGTACATTTGGGATTTCCTCAGGCTTTTACTTCTGGTCTGATTAGTTCTATCAGTATCAGTGCAACAACACACTAACATTATTTGCTACACCTAACATTATTTAAACAACTCCCAGTTGTTTCTCTGACAGCCAAATACCCAGGTTGTGTGCATTCAGTTCCATATATAATCCTCACATTGCTGATTTGGAACCATGCTGTTCCTTCTATGACTTGAAATCACAGATTTACTCACTAGCAAAGCAGAGAAAAGATTTGCACATTCTTAAGTTGATGCTTCACAGAGCATTATGAAGTTGTTAATGCAGAGACTGGTAAAAAAGAGCTTGTGGGTCTTCAAATTACAGAGAGTTCACTCATTTAAAACACTAAAAAGTAGCTGCTCCTTTTAATCACACCATGGATAAATAAGTACCTTGCTTTAGGATATTTAACATAGAAATCTTTGGTCTCCTAATGGAAGACAATTGGAAAACCACATACTTCTTGATGAGGATAATGAAAAGAAATAGCCTGCGAATACTGCAGGTCTCTAGTGCCTGAAAACTTGCAAGCTATTTCATCTTAATATTTCATAGGGAAGTTATGAATGCTCTAGAGACTTAGATTTTATATATTGTTCTCATAAACCATCAAAAATTATCCTCAAGATTCTGCATAAATTGCTTCCTCCCCTCTAAAAATTTCAGGACACTTCAAAGATTAAGCTTCACAACACTCTTAAGAGAAAATATAAATATTTTCCTTTTAGCATTATGCCAGTTAAAAGTTGATTCATTCAAAGTCACAAAATTTGAGATGGATATGAAAAAGGAAACCACAGCTCATTTCTTAATCTTAGTTATTCCTTCCTTTTAAGATCTTCTTTGTTTAAAAATATCTTCCTGAAAGTGATAAAGGATTTATAGCTATTCTATGAAAACAGATGATTTCAGTTCTCCACCAGAATCTTTCAATTTATTTTGTTTATATAACTGTTGTATTATTAGAAAAAACCAAAGTGCTTAGAAATCTGAAATGGAAAAAGCCAACTAGACAAGTGTCCATGAAATCACTAGTAGTTACAGATGTTTTCAGGATTGTATATATTTATTACTTAGGTTGACATTTTTGAGGAATTAAAGGGTTAACCTCCACAGTCTCATCATTTAATCATACACACACACAAAATCTAGAGGGTATAAAAGGTAGCCTTAGGAAATCAGGTAGAAAACCATTCTCCACGAAGGAGAAAAGAAGATATACCAGCTCCAGGTTACAGAAATATGTGTACACGCGTTGAACGCTAAAATATTCACCTTGCATGTATGTTGTTTCTGCTTTAAGCATTTGCTCAAATTGCTGAAGAAAAATCCCTAGCAGAGTCAGACCCCTCTAGGAATGCTAAGCAAGCATGGCCCATGAAAAAAAAAAAAAAACTCTAACCAGAAAACTATCTTATGAAAGAAAACTGTGGGATAGATCATCCTCCAACTGAAGAGGAAAGCTCGATGTCTCAGATGTATGTCAGATGCACAGCTTTCTAAAGCGGTTACAGCACATCAGATAAGAGTACTGCAGAACTGACTCAATTCAGACTGTTTCTTGGAAGCTATAAATTTTTATATTGTAACACACGCACAACTAATCTCCCACAGAAAAACTCCAACAGAACTAAATGCCAAGCAGGCAATTCTGGAACAAAAGAAAAAAACATGCTTTCCACCAGATATATAACAGATGCAGCAGCGTATCAGAAAACATTCTAATAATGAACAGTAGCCCTGACCTGAAAAAAGTTACCTGTGAGGCCAGATCAGAAAGCAGTTCACATCTACTCAGCTTCTTGTCACTGAGACTATCAAGAAAATGCTGCCAATTAACATCAAGTAACATACTGTCTGCACTGTGAGCAAATAACAAAGAACTATCAAATGCTATACGTAAACATTATCCATGCCTTAAGTATTTGAACAAGCAGAAAGCTTAGAAGCTATTTTATCAATCCCCATACCTGTTGGTTGGCAATCTTTGCAGATGACAGTTAAGTGGAATTCTATATCAATTATTTATTTAACAGTATATCAACTTTTAAGAATGGAAAAATATATACATATAGCTGAAAACTATTCAATGGCACACATGATTACTGTGTATCATGATAATTGAGAAGAGCAAGTTTTGAAAGATCTAGTGATTCATGTACTACTAAAAAATAGCTGCTGCACAAAGCAAAATACGTTCCAACTTCTCCAACCAAATATACCATATGCAATGCTGGATCTTGACAAAATTGCTGGCAATTTAATAAGAGGTTTTACATTTTGTTATAATGAAAAGATAACACTTTTTTGAATACCTTCTCAGTTTCAGAAAGACAAATGAGTATGTCCTGGAAAAAGTTAGACAAGAGAAACAGGAAAATGACAAAATAGCTGTCTTAGCAAAAGCAGGGTTTTGCTGACCAAAACTACCCTTTCTCTTCTGATTTCTTGAACAGATAAATGCTTCAAACCATTTACACAAAAAGGTCTGAAAACTGTTTTCATATTCTAGAATTCATTAGTGCTTTAGCTGCAAGCATTCTCCACTTCATTTTGAGATATTTAATGCCTTCAAGTTTATTTTCCTGGTTAATAATTAAACAGAAATTCCTCTAACCCTTCTGAGGCAACATTTTAGATGGGTACAAAAACAGAAGGAATTGCTATGTTACTCACACTGAAGGGCTTTGTCGATTTTAGGTACTTTAATAGTGTCCAGGTTTGACCTGACTAAAATTATTTTTACTCCTAAACAGGATTTCAACTGCTGATGTGTCTTGGGCAACTTGCACTATTTCTGGAATACCCAGGAAATATAATGGGCTGAAGCCAATTGTATGAGGTTCAACAAGGCAAGATGCAGGGTTCTGCAACTCGGTCACAAGAACCCTGTGCAATGCTACAGGTTTGGGAATGCTGGAAAGCTGCCTGGCAGAAAAGGACCTGGGGCTGTTGGTCAACAGTGTCTGAACATGATCCAGCAGTGTGCCCAGATGGCTAAGAACAGCACCCTGGCCTGTATCAGCAATAGTGTGGCCAGCAGGACCAGGGCAGTGACTGTTCCTCTGTACTCAGCACCTCAAGTCCTGTGTCCAGTTTTGGGACTCTCACTACAAGAAAGACCTTGAGGTGCCGGAAAGTGTCCAGAGAAGGGCAACAGAGCTCATAAAGGGTCTGGAGCACAAGTCTTCTGAGGAGCAGCTGAGGGAACTGGGGTTGTTAGGCTGGAGAAAAGGAGGCTCAGGGGAGACCTTATTGGTCTCTACAACTATCTGAAAAGAAGGGTGTAGCCAGGTGGGGGGCAGTGTCTTCTTAAAAGTAACAAGAAATAGGGTAAGAGGAAATGGCCTCAAGTTGCATCATGGAGGTTTAGATCGGTTTACTGAAAAAGGCTATCAAGCATTGGAAGAGGCTGCCCAGGGAAGTGGTGGAGTCACCATCTCTGGAGGTATTTAAAAGGAGGTGTAGATGTGGTACTTTGGGACACGATTCAGTGGTGGGCTTGCCAGTGCTAGTATAATGGTTGGAAACAATGATCTGAAACATCTTTTCCAACCTAAATGATTCTATGATTCTAACAAGCATCATAGAACAAGCAGAATAAAGAATATCAGTCAATTGATAGCTTCTTCATTGTCATACTGAGTATATGGGGTTTACTTCCTTCCCCCTCCCACTTCCTGTTTTTGCAGGAGAAATGCAAAGGGAAGAATAGGGAGGATAAGAGAAGATCTGGGCATTAACAAAACAGAGTAGCTTAGCAAAACCATTTTGGTTAGGAGCATTTTGGAACCAAGCCTCTCCTGGAAGACTAGCTTTCCAGAAAGGGAATGCAATTAAGAAAGAATAAAACCCCTGTTGTCTTGAGTGTTCCTCAGTGCTTTTTGGGATCACGGTCCATTCACTTTCCATTTCAACTGAGTGCCTCCAGAGGAAGTTAACAAGTATAACCAACCCCCGGAGAAAACAGTATACTTTCATTCTCAGTCCCGTCAATTGCTTTTCCAGGACACAGACTAAGCACTATTTTCACAGAAGCTGAGAGCCTGTAGTTCCTGCTAATTTCCATGAGAATTTTGGTTTCACAGCTCATCCTCTCTCCTACTATCATACTGAATCTTAATGAGGCATAAAGACTCAGGTAAACCGAATTACACCAAGATGATATCAGTTGAAGAGAACTATACTTCACTCTAAAGATTTTCAACTTACTGAGGCATTCCCCAAAGAACCAAGGAAGCATATATATGAATGTTTGCAAAGATAATAATAAATACTCAGATTTTATGTTCCTGTGTTCACAGAATTAATGAACAAAAAATATGTTTCAATCACAGAACACCCCAGTCATCTCCATCATCTCCAGTCAGAAAAAGCTTCCTTAGAAAAATGCATAAAATTAATCTAGTATAAACCAGATGGCTTTAAAATTTAAAACCTACTTCTTCAGGAAATTACTTTAAAACTCTTTACTAACCTCAGCTACTCTTTCCAAAAGTGGTTCCAGCCAGTGTTCATTGCACTCACAGTGACTATCCAGGAAGGTCAGCACTTTTGCTTGTGCTGCATCTGCCCCTCTGACACGGGAGCGCATCAGGCCTGAGAAGTAAAGATAAAAAGTTTTAAGTACTTCCTGAGGAAAACAATCAACAGTATTGAGGAACTGTAGCATTCCAAGTTAGTCATTAGCTAAGTTACACCAACTCAAACAGGACAAACACAAAAGAGCCATTATCAAAACCAGATGTTAGTTAAGAACTCAGTGAAACGACTTCACACCAAACAACCTGCCAGTGTCCAACCTTCTGCACCCTACAAGTTCTGATCTAATTTAAGCAGAAGAATCGAAGTGCTGTTTCAAAACAAGTGATACACAAGTACAAATGGGTCTGCATTACTGTAAATGGTATTGATACTGGTAAATGTTACTCAAGATCAGATCTGAAACAAAACATGTCAGACAGTTCTACTGTAGAACCGAGGAAAACACCATCCTCTTCAATTTTTTGCCACCCCTCATCTTAGTTCTTACTACACTCTGTCCATTCTTCTAAGAACTTCTTCCAGAAATAACCGTGATTCATTAGTTTACGTCTGAGAGCCTTACTTCCACCCCTTTCAACTGTCTTTTCTCTGTGCTTATGGCAATTCTCTTGTTTTGTGGTTTGTTTGGGGTTTTTTTGAAAAGATTTCTTTAGGAAGAAACTTCTGGTAAAACCAAAAGGTTCTTCTCTTCTCCTTATCTTAATTACACACATACCCTTACTGATTTACCCTGCTCCTTTCCTTCCTTCGTTCCTTTCTTTCCTTTTAATATTCGTTCATTGGATGACCTCACCATTCCTTAAAGTTCCTTGCTATAAATACACACATAGCAAGCTTCCTATAATTTCTTTGCAAATTTTCTCCCTGCTTTTTTCTACTATTAATAAATGTACTGATTTCATTGTCACTCAAGATCAAAACCAAGTAATTACTTTTTTTCCCTCCTCCTTCTTTTTCTTTCTACATTGTTTCTCACCAAATTTGTTCTGGTTTGTTTGGGCATTTTTTGCCCCCTGAAACACTGTAAAGGAGTCAAGCCCATTTCTTACCACTCCCTTTACAAAATAAATACTCAAAATATGACTATGCCAAACAGAATACAAGATGCTTAAGAGGAAAAGCTTGTATGCTCTTACTATTTCTTACTTCAAGTGGGAGCATTTCACTGTTGTAGATATGTGCTGTGTTAAGGCTCTCTGACAGTACTTTTTACACCTTCTCTGTGGCACACTGGTAGCTAACTGTACTTCACTGATTTTATGCTGTTTCCCCAATTCCAGCCTTTGAATCTGTTCTGTTTAGTCTTTCCACACCAAACCTTCCTCAGGCACTCCTGCTATATGTTTTTTTTTTAATTTTTACATTTCAATTCCTCCTTCCACAGCTTATTATTTATAATTTACATTGTTGTAGAATCTATTATCTTGCTCTAATTCCATAGAAAACACGCAACAGTGTTTCTAATTTCAGATTTAGTGGCAGAAAAATAGAGGTTACCACTTGGGTCATTGAGTCCTCCACGATCACATTCAGACTTACAATAAACAGAGATGGAAAAGTTGCACCGAACATTTATTTTGTAGACTACCACACCCTTCAGGACACATCTGTTCCCATAACAAATTCTGGTCCTACAGATGAGAGTAAAAACTACTAACATTTATTTCTGAATGAAAGGCAGTTAATGTCATCCCCTTCACCAACACCATCCCTTTAACTTTCATTTTAAAACACCCTGCTTTCCTCTATTGCTTATACTGCTGTGCCACTCTTAGCAGCCTACACAGTGGTTGATTTTACCAATTTTCTTGAATTTTAATTTGTATGTGCAATATTTAATCTTAGTCTCACAAAAATACAAAGTAAACTAGTACTCTGCCTTCCATCTGCAAACATTTGTTCTTTTCTGACAAAGTAATAGATTTGTCAAATTGTATTTCACTTTCAGATATACTAATGCATATTTTTAAGTACGAATCTGTATATGCACTACAAAGTTAATATTTAAAATTACTAAAAAACAAACATCAAAAAGGTGTTCCTTCCTTTTTTCATTACTACTATCCTCAAGTGCTGTACTGAAAAATGACATTAACTTACTCAGAACCTGACAACCATAGCAAGTCATAAAAGACCTGCATTGCTAACAAGTCTTTGTTCACAAGTATATTCCAAAGAACCCATCAGTTATTGCAATAACGTGAATTATGGGACAACACAGGTTTTGTGCATGTCATTTCCAATACCTGACAATCTAATGATTCCAGCTCCTCCCCAGGCCAGGCTGGCAGTCTAAAAGATACAGTCCTTATAAAAATTAACAAGTCTGCTAAATCAGTCAGCTATTTCAGCTGTCAAATCTCAGTTATTATTTCAAACAGCTGTAGAATAACAGTTGCCTGTATCTAATACATTAAGCTCCAGAGTCAGGAAATTGCTGACTGAAGAGTTCAGTGACATGAGACCATAATTCACAGAGCAACACAGAAGAAAACAAAAATGTAAGACAAATTTGTTACAGGGCACACTAGCTTCATACTGGGTCCCAGCCCTCCTGGCTGCTCCAAACCTCTAAAGGCTGCCAAAACAAACTGTTTGTCAGGCTATCCACCAACTAAATCCTTAAAATGATATCTAAAAAGGGAACCAGAGAGCTATTTTTAAGCTGGATCATTTCAAACATAGATACATAGATAGTTTACAGTGAGACCTTGCATACAATGGGAACAGCTTAACTGAGGATTCAGTGCAGGAAGAGAAAGGAAAGGCTGAAGATTAAATGCAAATCCTAAAGGAAGTTTTCACTGTAAAAGCCAACAATGGGCAATTGTACACACAACAATAGGACAACAATCAGAATTAATGTTTTTACCTGCATTAATACGTTTTTTTTTATTCCTTCCACCGGTAGATTTATAAAGTAGAATGTTCCTTTAAAAGACCTGATGAACACTAAAAGCTAAGGAAGCACAGTGGAATTTGTATCTTCCTTCCCCAGATTAAACTTACCTTCTCGGCGGTCATTTCGAAGAACTCGTACTTTTTCAATTTTTCCCAAGAGAGCACCATCCTCAGCTTTAAAAAATAAAATAATAAAAAAAAATAAAAATCAAGTGATAAGAACCCATTTGATATCCAACACTGTATACCAAAAGAGGGGCTGTCTTCAAAGAAAAGCAAAGGCTTTGTAGGTGAAAATGTTTGTGGTCATAAATAGTTAAATATAAGATACATGTTTAAAAAAAAACAACATATCTCACCAGAAATAAAGAAAAGTTATCAGGCTAAGAAATTACTACTTTCATTATGTTATTTAAAGCTAACTTAATTTTACAGTCTTGAAACATTTTTATTTAACTATATTCTCTTTGTTTATTTTAGACCATTCCTACATTGCATAGAGAAAAACACTTTTATAGGATTAAATAAACTGTTTTCTTTTCATATAGGAGAGCTCTCTTTAATCCACATTAAGGAACAAAGATGTATTAAACTAGCTAAAAACTAGTAATGCAATATAGACATTAGTTTCCTTTAAGAAATGTTACTCAGAGGTCCATTTCTATTGCTCGAGTTTCTATCATGATACTCTAGTACTTATAAAACACTGAATTATTTTAGATTCAATAAGAACTTTTCCAAGAGACCGATGAAGACCAGCATTCATTTAAAACAGTGCTACAAAAATATTTGTTGCAGGAACCATGGGTTTTAATTTTACTTAAGATAACATACTACACAAAGGTCCTTTTAATGATACACTCTGGTCCATCAACTAACACGAAGTAATAAAATATACCTGAAGTATTTACAGGAACTCTTCACATTTCCAAAATTACAGATATGGAAGAATTAAGACCTGGTTTTGGATCAGTCCCTGTCAGCTCCTATTCAAGTACCCTATTCTCAACCAAGTCACCTACTGACATCTACAGAAAGTCTTACCAGAATAAGCACTGTAAGTTCGGATTGTAAAAGTACTTACGATCATTACTATAGTCATCCACCAGTATGATTTCCTTAATAAGATGCGATGGACTTTTTTTAAGGACACTGCAACAGAAAAGAAAAAAAGCATTCAGTACTAAGCAGTATTAATTTTCCATAATGATGTCATAAAAGGAGTTATTTTGTTAAGCCACAGTAGAACCTAGCCCAGGATGTTATCTTCAACAGCAGCTATTGACTTATTCTTACAGAAAGAGTGAAGAGGTACACATATAGAATTTGGGTGTTCCTTCCTCCCCACCACCCCTACCTCCCCCACCCCCGCTATTCCAGCCCCCAGAAATCAGAACATTAGATAGACAACGTGTAACATAGAAGTTTTGCAGGTATCTTTGGCTCAAATATCCCCTAAGAATCCATCTATCCTGACTTTGGCTTGAAACAGTCAGTCTCCAAACATCATCTGGTAATTGGTTCCATACTTCAATTCATCTGTAGTTAAGGCAAGCAATTTTGTATAACATCACTATTTCAGAATGTAAGAACTGAAGACTTATCTTTTCCTCTGCAAACAGTTCAGAAGAGCATAACAGGTTGTTACTTTCCTTCCTTATCATAAACCATTTTCTGACACAAATAAACGGCCTTTAGGGAAAAATTAGGCTCTCTTATATATACCTGACAACAGTTCGAAGCAAAGCAGATCTTGCCTCATTATGAAAGGTGATCACCACACTAGTAGCTGGCAAATCTATCCGCCATTGTTTCCGCTGACACCTGAAAGAAATAACACTTTGTCATTTGAACATAATTTTTACATCCTGGGCTTAGCAGACAGCCTTCATTGTGAAGTATTTATCTATTAAATTCATGTACACACTGCCTAGGAAGAATAAAATGCCTTGTTTTCAAGTGAGATTATAATCAACTTGTTTTCTCACACTTTTGGTAGTTGTCTTAGTATACAAAAGACTAAGAAGTCAGTGTCAAATACGGGGAGGTTCAGAAAAGCCACGAGACCATCATCACTGCAGTATGTCATAAATATCTTTTTTGCAACTGAGTATGAAATCAGAGTGCTTTTTTTACATTAAAAGCATTCAATACATCTAAGGAAATAGGTATATTTTCAAGGAAAATTGACATGTTCACAGGCTACCATATACTTCTTCTTTAGAATGGCATGTGTCCACTTCTCCCTTTTTTACATTTTTAAAGCTTCTGTAGCATCTCACTCATAGATAAAAACAGTTATCTATTCTAATGAGAACTGGTAAGGATCATAACATTTGGAATTTGAAAAACAAAGCTAGCTGTGACAATGCTCAGCCAACTAAACACAGAACCACATCCTTCCAAACATAAAGATGATGAAATATTCCATCTAATGTCAACTCATTTTTTCATCACCTCTAGAAGCCTGAAATTAATATAATAAGAAAAAATAAGCAAATCCTAAAATAATTCATGCAGGACTACACACACTTAAGATATTTAATCCAATAAAATAAACCTAAAAAAGACACTACTCCCCTTGTATTAGAAAGTAACAGTACCAGAAAACTATGCATACTGAGTTTATGCTGAAAGCATTATAGTCTGACAGGTCATGATACTGATTGCCATTCATGCAGTGACATACACAAGTTATATATTTCTTCCACATTCTTTAATTATTATTAAGGGTAGAGTTTTAACAAGCCTAGTTGTCTTCAGAGGGGATAAACCCAGATAGCGTACACCTGTAGCAAATTCAGCAAGTATTTTTGTACTCTGCGCAGTATTAATCAAACTAGCTTTTCAGGGAAGTTTGCCACCTACACTTCTAAAATGAGACCTCTGCCTATATAAGAGCCTACTCCACACCTGATTAAACATCTGCAATGCACACCATAAAACACACAAACCTTCAGCTTCTTGGAATCCATGAGTGAGTAGCAATGCACTTCTTGCTCGTCCCCACTCTACAAAATCCCAGGAACCTGGAGTGTTTTCAATACAACACACCCATAATGTCACACACATTAGTGCTTGCTGTCAAACAAAACATTATTTTGCTCCAATGACCTCACTTGCTCTGAATGAAAACAAAGCCCACGCCAATCCTACAATTGCTGTCTCAGATCAGCAAGGCCATGTCTAGCTTTGTGGTGGGTGTACAAAACGGCTTTGTCGCTAGCACCCAGCACTGGAGCAATAAATCACAAATGCCTATATGTTCCTGAAAAATAAAGAATTAAGAGCTTCTCTAGCGTGAGCTTTAGGCAATTCATCTAGAGAGCTAAAAGACATGCAAATATTATACTCTAAAGCCTATGGTGCCAAAAAAGATATTCTTTTTTTCTGCTAACTTTCAAATTGCTCACAGAGGACAAGGCTACCGTGCATGCAGTTATCACATGAAGCACTTGCATTAGAATAATTAAAAAGTCACATTAAACTTATACTGATATCTTTGCAGAAGAGAGCACTTGAGCCAGAATGCATATTAGAGGGAATTACTCAAGGCAATGGAGCCTCTCAATTTTAAGAAAACTCAAGAGAAGAGCACAACTGCATATTTCTGAAGGAGAAATTAAAATTTTTAGACTTCCAAATAAAACAGGAGGAGCATTTCAGTGAGTATTTTTGTTCTCAGCTCTTCAAAAATCCCTTCTTTAACTGACTCAGTATCAGTCCTCCTGCTGTGTCAACAGGGCCACAGTTAAAACTCAGACTGAAGAAACAATGTCATTACTTTTGGCATGGAGATTAGATGTTGTTTTCTCAAGCTGCAGCACTTAAATTTTACATGCAGAATATGAAAATACATTTAGTTAAAATAAAACTTGAACACCAAATTTCAATCTAGACCCTCAATGTTTAGCATAGGTCATTAAAATCAGTTAAAACATGAGATTTGGACTGGTTCATATAATTAACAATTTTTCCCCGAAACCTCAGCAGTTTGTTTGAAACCACTTTCGGACAAAAATATCTATTTTAACCAGTACAAGAACATTCACTTCAACTGGTACCAAAGACACAGGATAGTTTGTTTCTTCTTTTCTTAGGAATAAAACTTGAGCGTGAGGTCATAAGCTTCTAACAGGTGCCAAATGAGAAAGAAAACACAGTTCAGCGCAGCTGAAGTACTTACCAGTAATTCTCAAGAATCATCACAACACATCAGTTAACAGATGTGATCAGAAACCACTGGTCCAAAGGATGCATGGTGGACATTGGTCCACAAAAAACACGGAGTATTTTATCCTTCATCCCTGCTGGGAGACTTTTTTACAGTGGCAGAAGAACAACTCTGTGAGTTTCCTATTGCAACTGTGACACTCATTTTTAACTTTCTGGGTCTCCAAAATCTACCATGACAGTGAGAGCTCTCAGTTACACATCATAAGCAGACTGCAATGAAAGGAAACCCAGTGGTTTCTCAATGTTGTTGAAAGTAGTAGTGAGCATCAGCTGGAGTGAGAATCTGCATTCCTGCTCAGAGTTCTCTCTGCATCCTTTCTTATGTTGCATCTGCCCGTTTCTCACTTCTTCCTTTTGCTCAAAATGAAAGCAAGCAGTTTAAGTAAATGAATCAAGTGTTTTCCAGTTTTTTCAGTACTGCTGCCAGGCTTTCACAAAAAGCAAGTGGAAATCTTCGGTCTTGATGCTAGTAAAAGTTTGCATGATGTAAAAAGGACTAAACAATATCGTATTAAGAGATGCATAATTATACACAATTGTTTATTAAATAAATTATATTTAATGCAGAATCCTGATAAACTGCTTCTCAACAGACAATTTCAGCAATTAAATAATATTACTATGTAGTTATTTCAAAGTCAAATAGCCTCTTAGACACATCAGTACAATTAACATCAAGTTGCTTAAGGAGAAACAAAGTATTTCCTCATCTCAGTCACTTTTCTTAAAGAAAAAGACTGCAGCAGCTCCACAAAAGATTTTAATCTCAACCCAGTTGCCTCCAATTTTGCTGAAAATAACATGCTTCCAAGCATCATGTGATCAGATATTCTTCTTCCTATGGCTATTGCTCTTCTTCTTGCCATCACGCAGTTCCTAAGTATTTCATTTGGTTTTTTCAGCTTCTGCAGTGAAACTTCTTGCCAAAAGAGAAGAAAACTTAATTGCAACATGGCAGGGAACTTATCATGGACAGTTTGCGTGAATGATTGCTGCAGTCTGGTTTTTTGTTTGGTTGTTTTTTTCTTTTAAAAGATGATTATTTATAGTCTGATGGGTACTTAAATCTGCTCCATGGCAAAGTCAAAGTAATAATCCCAGCTCAGATACAGCCTTTCCCCAGAAATATCTCTCTCTCTCTTCTCCATTGCAGGGTTCTTTTCCAGCTTCATGTTGTGAAAAAACTTAATCACAAGACTGACAGTTAAAACAAGCATGGCCATTGTAATATAATTTGTCTCCTGTCATCTCTTACATTCTTCTCAAACGACAGCCTTTGTCTGTCAGACACTCCCCAAAACAGAGATCATGAAATATTTAAAAACTTCCAAATTCAGCATATCTGAATCACAGAAGTTTCTAGAAGCTGGTAGCTGAGTTTTGATGTCATGGAAAAGAATACCTGGTCTAAAAAGTTAGAATACATTTCTTGGGAAAAAAAAAAAAAAAAAATATACGCTATGAAGAAAATTCAAAAGTCACTTCAGACTCCTCAGTACACCATGGGCAACATTCTTTTCACTGCTTTCACTCCACCAATGGAGACTGAAATGAGGCACCAGTTTGGATATATAATAGACACTGACTGAAGTCATGGAAACAGAAGAACTCAAATAAGATTCCTTGTTCTTTAACCCAAGGATGGTGGAGTTTACTGTTCCTGTCCTTTCTAAGGCTGGAAAGCTCCTGTTTCAGAAAAACCACCTGCAGCTCAAAAGCAATAAATACAGAAAGGTTAATCCAAGTCAAACAAGGCTCAGTTTGGCACTTACTGATCATGCCTAGTGTCAGGAACGCTTCGGTCCATTCGCAGTTTGTCACTTTCCACCTGATTGAACTTATTGCGGGCATATGGATCCTGACCAGATCGCACCACAGTGGCACCAACATATGCATCTTGATCAAAGTCCTGCCACCGAACTTTTCCTACAACAGAAAAACAGGAAAATATCCAGATTAATCTTCACAATTTAAGGAACAGCATTCAGCAACCCAAATGTAATTGAGGAAATGTTTAACTTTGCAACAAAGTAATTAAACTTCAATGCTATTGTTAACTGTGTAACATCAAAAGTCACTTTTGCACATTAAATTCTTCTAGAATATCCTGCAAATTAATATAAAATTGAACAATTTTACAGATCACAGTTTGTACAAGTAATCACTAGACAATGCTTCATCTTGTCCACTTTGTGTTGTGTTTTTTTTTAACCCCACAATTCCCATTTAAAAAAAAAAAACAAACATCCACATATCAACAGGCAGTAAGATGGTAGATGATCTGGCTATAATGTTATCTTAGAAACATTTGTTTTTAAAGACCTGGTCCAGACTTCGAAGACATAATTTAATTTACTGTCTCATTACAGAAGCAAAAACATAGTCACTAATAATCAAGCCATTTGAGAAGCAGGCCTTCTAGAAATACAAGACAGCCTTATTCTCAAAGAACAGCATTTCCTGTAGGCAGAGCACTAGATCACTCTCCACTATGACATAACTGCAATCTCCTTGACATTCAGAATTTATTCAGATTAATCCCTCTTTAACACGGACTGTGTTATTATGTGACTTGTTGTGACACTAACACAGAAAGGCAGATTAACATCCAGCTACCAGGAACAAAATTTCAGGACTCCCACCATTTTCAGGTGTACAACAACAGTATGGTATTTACCAGGTATCTTAAAACTACCAGTTCTTACCTCTACTTAACATTTACTCTTTTTACTATTGACAGACAGACCTATGCCACCTATTAGCAAATTTATACCACACTTAACTCAAAATCAGAGCTCAAATTCTAATGCAATACAGACATTCTTGATTTAAACACGGATGTGTATGACAATCTCCTGCAAGCAAGTTGTGGTGAACCAGTATGCTATTGGCACAAAAAAAGAAACAAAGGAAAAGCTGTCTTTTGTGGTCACTGTTTATTACAGACGGGAGGATTTAATATTCATTGTTTTCATAATTACCATAAAAAGGTTTTGAGGTATTTTTAGTTAAGTGCAGTAAGTAGCAGGTTGCAAAGATGTCATTCCATTCCAGTGCAGCTTTTAGAAAAATATCATAGCTCAGGCATATCCTAAATTAAGTTGATATGCATACAGGGAATACTACTCTACCAGCTATTAACAAGAGTTAGAGGTTGCTCAGATTTTCCAGGGTTTACCTTTGCTTGTCCTCTCAACCAGCACAGCATGAAAACTAAGGGAGATAGGCCTCATTTACAGCTTTCTATCCATAAGCTAAGCCGCAACTACAGCACATTATCTCCTGCGAGATTCTGCTAACAAGAGAACATTTTCCATCATTAAACAAAATAACTGTCCCTTGTTCAACCAGACAATACAACAACTTGAGTAAACACTCTATAATCTCAGGATCATCCAAGGAGCTCATCTACAAAAACAACTTTCGCCCAAGGTGGGATCTGGTTATCACATGGTAGTGGAGGTTGCAAGGCAAAAGTAGCAAGGTTGAGGAGGAGGTGGTTTGTGGTTGTTTGGTTTGTTTTTAAGTAAATTCCAACAGATTAAGAGAAAAGTGCCCATACTTTTGGATTACTGGTTTAAGAGCTAGCTAGCCAACACTAAGTAACTATTTTTCATATCTGAATTACCAACCTAAGAAAGTTAAAACATGCATGCGCACACACACGCACACAGAAGCCAGAACTAGAAAGTTAAAGAAAAACAGGATGCAGAACATTTAATAGACACTTGGTGAAGCAACCCAGAAGGCAAATTATAAGAAAATAACTGGAGGCAGAAACATAGTTTTTCAAATTCCTATTACTGAAAGAACTCTAAAAAGGAGACTTTCCCTCTTTTGCTGTTAGACCACAGACTGACAAGAGCTTTTGTAAGCCATTCAAGTTCTTTCTTCAAAATATTTCCAGGAACTTACTTTGAAAACAATTTTACACCTCAGCCAGCTAACACACTACAAACAACCCAATATAGTTATTTTCAAAAATTACACCAAACCTCATTTGCAAAAAAACTATAAAAAAGGCTAGAGCAGCTTGATTCAAGAAACTGGAAGAAACATCAGAGATCACAAGATCATTTTCCCACAAAATTCTCTCCCTCAGCATTTCCCAAAGCTTTTGCAACCTCCTTGGTAACTAAACTGTATTATCACCTTTGCTTCTAATTTATAATAGAGCTTCAATCTGAATAATTTGTTGAATATTTTCTGAAATACAGGACATGTCACGTTGCCACTTTGCTGGCCTAAAAATAAAGATTTTTGGTGCATTTTACAAAGTATCATGAACACTTGAAATGCTTTTATGTAAGATTTTCAACTTCCAAACACTCCAACTTTAAATTGGTTTTGAAGCCATGCGCATTTCAGGACTTCCACCCCCAGCTACTCTTCAGCTGCCTTCCATCCACTGGAAAGAGCAGCTAAAACACCAGAGGCCATGAAGCCGTTCCATGGGTGATTAGGGTGATGCTGTTGCAAGTGTTCTTCTTAAACAGGTTGTGTCCTTTATGAAATACAACATGCAACATGGGCTGCCCACATGTTTATAAGTGACCATGGTTTAAGTTAACTGCTGGAAACTGAAAGGCTGATTCAAAGCTAACTATACTGCCCAGTCTTACTTTTGCTGAAAGGCTTGCCTTTCTACATCTATCAACTAAATTTTGAAGTTAGAAGAGGTTTAGCAAACCTTTTCCAATAATAGGTACTACTTCTGTTATATGCTTCCCTAGGTACACAAATCAGAGCACGTTTGATTTAATTTCTTCTGGAGAGTTAGATAGCTCCATAGTTTCCTGCATTTCAATGACTTTGTCAGGTGGAATGAATATCAGAAAATGCAGCTATATTATTTCAAACTTCAATTCAGTATGTAACCTCAAATTCAAGCAAATATTTGGACCTAACATGACAATAAATTAGTCTTTTAAACAACAGTAAGTGAACTGCAAAGTTTGCTACCAGAGTCAATGTGTCAAATAGAACCAAAAAAAGAAAAAACAAAAACTCAATCACTGAACCAGCTAAGATCCTGGAGCAGGGTATGTTGCAGTAAGTACTGAACTTGGTTTTGACAAGAAGTGTTTATTTTACAAACAGTCCTAAGCCTGAGAAGTTGAGTAGAAGCTAGAAAAAGGTGAAATCCAGTGAAGCTGCTTCTTTTTGTCCCAGTTCCCATCAAAGTTTGATATAAATAATTTATAATGTATCATTTACCATTTTCCAACACTTTAAAACTCACAAATGCAAAATTAGTCCAGAAAGAATAAAGTAAACTTAAGAAGAAAGGAGACTACTTCATAGGGCTAAATTTACTGAAAAGCAGTGACAGTCCACAGAAGTAGTGAATTTGGCTTCAGAAGACACAAAGGAGGTAATGCTTGGCTCCGACTCAAGCAGAAGGCCCTATCAACTATGTGCAATAGGAGTCAGATCGATTAAAGATAAGTCAGATAACAGTAAAAGCAGCTAGAAGTGAGAGAAGAGAAGAGAAAAAAAGCATATCAGATAAATCTGTAAGCACTCAAGCAGCAGGCAACAAAGAGTAGGAATAGATGGATACAAAATCCCCTAAATAGCTTGCATTCCCTCTTATGGACTCAATACAGCTTAAAAGCAGTTGAACACAATATAAATATGATTATTTTGATTTACATGCATTAAGGGGTCCCAGATCTTCAACAACTAACAAAAAAAAGAGTGTTTGAGTAACTGCTGAAACTCCTGTCAATACAGGCAACTACTTATGCAGTTTTGCCTTAGTTATCCATGAAGACAATTCAGGGTTGGTCTTTCTAAATACAAGAGCTAAGATCACTATTTTCATATATCAATAATTTTTCAAGGGAAAAAAAAAAAAAGCTTTTGCAGCATATAAAAGAAGTCACCAGGAGACAAAGGATAGATACGCTCCAGCAAACAAAAGATAAACTGACAGGTCTAATCTTTATATAAAAAGACATTTTAAAGATAATAAGCATTTCCTTAATTCCAAGAAGTCATGAAAGATGTTACAGTCCATCACGCTGAAACCTAAACTATAGGTTTCCTAAGTTCAGTTGAAAAGCAAGAAAGTTTTGAACCAGAGCCCACCTAAAATTTGATCGCTTTAAAACAATGCAAACAATGCACAGAAATGTGAATACCAAGCTTCCCTGCCATAATGACTCAAAAGTTTGCCTATATGGATTGAAAATAAAGAAAATAGCAACTGAAGAGTGCATAATTCTCTGTGTAGTCTTTGATGTTTGATCCCAGACTCTCATACTACTTCGCAGTAACAATTCTCCTGCCTGTTACATCCAGCCATAAGAGACTTCTAATCAACATATGAAATAAAAAAAGCCCTGACCTGCTCTACTTTACACTTGATCTTACTTCTGGTTTCAACCCTTCCAGCTTCTGATAGCTCTCCCTTTCAGCCTGTGACACTTCCCACTTCTTTTAATAGTCAAACCACCTACTTAGGGCCACTGGGAAAGGAAGGTGTTCGAGGAAAAGTATAGGGTTTGTCTCAGAATACATAAACATCCAAAAAGGGGAAATAAGAAAAACAGCTGGAAGGTGCAAAATTGGTTGACCTAACCCCAGTAACAATATTTGTAGAGAGTTCTGTAAAGCAGAAAAAATACTTGAAAAGATCTGCCAGAAACCAAGTTAAATAAGTCAGACTCTTCAGCTTTTTGGGATTTATTCCCCAATATATATACAAAGTAAAGGCTTCGCCGAGAAAGTATACATACATAACCAGTCTTGTTTCCCCTCTCCAGACAGCAGGTAAGACAAGGCAGGCCAAAGGATACAGGAAAAAAAAGCCATCAATAGCGAACAGCTTATACTGTACCTGGAGAGTCTATGACTGTAAAACAAAAATCATACCTCACATGTTACTGGGGATGGAAGTTCCAGCTGCTTAAAGCAAAGTTTACCTTGGTTAGTTCTTTCTGCAAGACCTCATAGTGTCTCAAATGTTGGGCCAAGACAAATTTGTAAGCAAAACATTAGGATTAATAGAAGAGGAGTAAAACGTCCTGTGAAGCTACCTGATCAGTAGTCGTCCTTCTTGTACAGTAAACTTTTTCAATACTGTAAAATGTTCAAACCCGTTTTTCATTTTTCTGTATTCCTTAGTATGTCAATTGCAGCTAATATATTAAATCTCATTGATGTGAAACAGTTAAGTAGCAAAGAAATATTATGGAAGCAGTCATATGAATGAAGATTCCTTAACACTTAACTTTCTAGCTCATCCTCAAGGTATAAGGATTTCACTCAAATAGAACAAAAATCATGTTGTTCTCTTATTTGCCAGCATATGACAAGTATGAGAAAAATAAGGTACACCATCAGCAGAGTCAGGAAAATCTGCCACAACAAAAACTAGAAAAAAACTGAAGTATGAACCTTGGCTGAATCTTCAGTCAAAACAACAGTCCCACAGTGACTTGCCTGTTGCCTGTCAGCATTATCCACTGAGAGACACGGACTACTTTCATACCAGGGGCTTTTACAGTACCTCAAACCTATTGAAGGACAATACAAATGTACAAGCAAAGAACCACACTCTCTAAGGCTTTAAACCCAAAGGAGTAGTGAAGCAGGTAAGATTTAAGGAAGCTGAAGCTGTAAGAAGTACATGTTGCTAAAACAATCCCAGCACTTCCAAACTACAAAGAATTATTAGAATCAGAACAACTGCTGTGTTTCATGGCTTTCAATGATAAATGTTTTATGGCTATGGATCTTTTGTAACAAATGTTACTGCAATACCTGGAGGTAGCGTCTCCACACTTTGTGCTTTGTCCTCCCCATCACTGCCACGCACTTCTTTCCTTTTGGGATCGATATCATTTGGGTCCTCCTGAAAAAAAGTACATAATCTTTAAAATAATATTCTTATTTAATTTTGTGTTTTCAAAGCAAACAGTAATAACTAAGTTTTGTGGATTTTAAACTCAGAGTGGTTCAAGAGAGGTCGAATTTTAAGAGAAAGTAATCAATAACATTCAAATGAGCTACACAGGCAAAAAGATTAAACAAAACCTGAAGAAAGCCCTATTCTAACAAGAAACGGCCTAAATAGGAAAGTTATCTGAAAAGAGCAGTCAGGTTATCTAGCAGCTATATCTAGAACGGCAGTCTTGCTATTGGAAAGAGACTTCTGAAATATTTTTACGTGTATATTTCAGAGGAATTTATTCTAGGCTTCACAGGCAACTCTGCTGTCTCTGTGATTCCAAGGATATTGATGATAACCATTTAGAAAGGGGGAAAAAAACCCCAATTTCATCTACCTCCAAGAAAACCAACCACACTTTTGTATGGTGGTTACCACAAAAATACAAAATTCCAAGCTGGAATTATCCCATTATGCATTTGGAAGAAGTCAAGAAGAGGATAATTCTTTTTTTAAATTTTTTTTAGCAACTGTATGTCGACTTTACACACTACACTTAGCCAACTGATTTAAGTGCCATCAGCTTCTGTTGGTCTTGCACACTTGCCAAAGGAAATTCAGTTTTCTACATCTGAAGGAGTCCCATTTATAATACCAGTTATATTTGCACAACCCTGATGAAGACAAGATCATTACTACACCATGGAAGAAGATACAATACTATGCTTATACTAATCAATAAGTGCACCTAAAAACATTACCAGGCCCTGAAGCCAAGCAGTGCAGAACAGTTCATATCTCTTATAGGAATCTGCCAGAATCTCCAGAACAGGGTGGTGGTGTACAAACTTCATACTGTAAACTGTCTCTGCCATCCCAGCTCCTAAGCCACATCTGTGAATTCTTTGGTAGAATAGTAAGTAGTCAGAACAGGTCAAGTTGGGGAAATTTCAATCACAAATTATACCATTTCAGCATGCCCCCAGGCATCTCTGAATTTTCCAATGTAAATTCAGCTTAAGCATCTACACTAAGTAGGCATTAGGTATTTGGAAATATGTTGAAAAAAGGCAACAGACCTCCAAAACACTGAAATGAAAATCTAAATACCAATGCTTTTTTTCCCAGAGAAATACAGCTATGTAAACACTAAATCAGTTAAAAATTGAGTGCTACCCATGCATGCTTTTCATAGAATCATGTATAGATGATACCAGAGAGAAGGAATTTTGTCCAGGTTCTTACACTACATTTCACCATGTTGGTACATGCTTTGGGCCACTGGTCCTTGAGGAGGTCAATACCTTTGCTTAAAGAAAGAATTAAAACAAAAATAACAAGAAAAACCCCACCAACACAAAAACACACTCTCAAAACAGTTCTTTAATCAAGAGAGCACAAGAGGGAGATTTCATGAACGAAAAAAGAAAAGGCTAATGTATTTTTCTATATTACAATATTATTACTTTAAAATATTATTTTCTTGACATACTAAAAAAGCTGGCAACATCAGGCTATAACTTAGTACGTAAACGCACCTGGACAACTAATTTGAGCCTATTAAAAAATAAAAAGGAAGCTGACCAACTAGCAGAGACACTGACCAAACATCAGATGCACATGTAACACCACTAGAACAATTTGTGGTCACTGCATTTGTGGTCACTGTTCATGCAGTTATTTTCTTAGGCCAGGACACACATATATCAACAAGAAAATAAGTACACACCAGCTATAATGCACATGTTGCAGTGATGGGGCATACATTACTTTTATACATCACGTCACTGCTTCCTGCTAATTCCTGATTCAGTACTAGATGACATGCAAAGAAACAAAATTGCAACCTTTTGACTCCATTCAGTGGGAAATATTAGAACAGTATTTTACTAATATTTTAGACATAACAAATAAATGTACATTAAATATAATGTTTAAATTCAATTATCTAAATACCTTTGCTACTCCAAAAGCTCAGAAGTTAAGGTAATGTACATTTACTTAAAAATTTGTTAAAACATTCCTTGCAGCAATAACCACAATTCATTAATGGTAAATTGAACAAACTGAGGGTGGAGTGGATGATTTTTCAGGCTGATTAATCACTGAAGTGCAACTTTTTCTTTCAGGATACAGTAAACTCTCAATGCCTCAGAAAGCCTACATCTGCTTACAAACCTTGCTATTACCACTCACTTTTCTTTTCCTGCTCAACTCACCCACTCCATTAAGACGACTGTAGACTGAATTTGAGATATATCAAAGATGTAACATTAATTTCCAGTTTTGAGAACTAGACTCAAAAAAATTGTTTCAGGAAGTGACTAGTTACATATTTGCAGCTGCTCTGACTGATGTAGGGAAAGAATGAGGTGATTCAAATTCAAAGCAGGATTCAAACATTTTTATAGCATTTCTACACATCTACGACAAGACACAATCATACTCCACAAGAAATTTAAGAGTAGTCAATTTGAGTTTAGAAAGCTGTAATTATACACAGATGTACATTACTGGATAATTTCATTACCATTACTTAGATCTTCTAGACGTTCTAGTTTGGGTATATTTTTTTTGCATTGAATACTATATTCCTTACAAGCATTGCTAAGCAATTAGCATTTTGTCAATTGTTATTTCATTTGGCACCAAAACCAATTTTAAACCGTTCCAAGTCCCTAGGTATTCCTTCTATATAAAAAAACACTTAAAACCAGTGCTGTTTTTCCTATCTCTGTCTCACAATATTTTTTTATCTTTTAATTATAGTTTCAAGTATCACGGATTTGACATTAACTGCTACGTAGTAGATCTCATTATAGCACAGATTTCAATCCTACACTGGCTTCCTATCAACAAGAGAACAATTTATCAACATGAAACATCCTTAGATATACTAAGATATCACACAGACCTTATAAGCAGCAAATCAACACAGATTTCTGCAAAGCTCTTGTGGTTGGAAACATCTTAAGTGTGTCTTCAATAGCAGACATTCCTCTCACAGACAACCCAGATGCTGAACAGCATGCAACATTTGGGCACAGGAGATGGTTGGGAGGTATGTGCTACCTGGACAGGTGGACACTCAGAATAATTGATAAATGTGTCTTCATGGGACAAAACACACACTAAGGCTTAATATCTGTTTCAGGACTTGTTTTTAAGATATTGGCCAAGGGCAACTGCAGACAGATTTACTTCTACTGGTGATTTTCTAACAGCAAAGTGAATAGTGGAAGAATTTTCAAAGAGCATCATTTGAGCCAGCTGGCCTAATACTAGGCTGCATTCAGCAGTACAGATCAGTTGAATCAGTAGATGATTTTGAAATAGCGCTCTTGCTGCAAGATGACATTCCTCCCAGTACTTCATATACTTCTGTTCTGATCTTGTACTTGGGACCAGACACACAGAAGCACTCTGATGTTGTGTAGAGTAGCCTGCTACAATTCAGACCTCTAAACCAAGCATGAAGGCTCCTACAAAACTTAGCTATCTAAAAGGACTCAAAGCTGAGTAGAGTCAGACAGCTGACTGACACAGAAAAGTCCAGACTTCTTTACTACTGCTTAGTATCTCCCTCTGTACTTAATATGTGCCTTTTTCCCCCACCCCAATTCAGTTTACCATCTTTTAATTAGCTATCACATTAGCTAAGCAAGCTCTGAAGCACCAGTTCCTTCTAACTCAAGAGAAGCTTCAGCACAGTCCAGCGTGTTGTCGCTTGCTTTCTGATTCAACACTCACTACCGCCTTCCAAGAGATCTTCAGAAACACAACTCCAAGTCTCTCTTGCTGCAGTAAATGAATTCAGCTTTCCTATGTGCCAGGTAAGCACTGTAGCAATTTAATGTAATTACATTATGGGGCAGCTGTTTCTTCCCTTGTCAGCAAAAACGTTTTGTACAAAACTGAGATAAAGTATCCTCTGAAAATGCCTGGAATGCCACATCTTACAGAAAAGACAAGCAGGAAATGTCCCATAAATAAATGCTGACTTCCTTTAACTGTCAACTTGCTTGGCATGACTAAAGCAGACATTTCTAAGCACACCAAGAACTGAAGCATAAATAAATAAAAAAAAAATTTGAAAATTCGTATACTTTGTGATATTTGATTACCACTGTTAAGCATAATGTCTGAAATGATTACAGCAAAGATGATTTCATTTTCATTCTTACTTCTTTACCCAGTGTACGCAAATTGCTGTCAGGTATATTCCTTTCATCTGTAAGTATTCAAAACAAAAATAGAAGCTTCCAGCAGGGGGAAACAGAGGTACACACCCCTCCCATGCATACAAGAAGGCAATTTTAAATTCTCAAAAACACTAGGGGAAAGTAATCAAGATTATACTTTGATGGCTCCATATATAGGAAATGTGTTTAGATATACTCTCAGTGAATACATTTGAAACATTTTGAAAATGCCAACTACTATAAGCTGTAGTCTCCAGAAAAACTTAAATTAGTTAGTACCCAACCTTCTCTGTAATTTTTACCTTTACTTAGGGCAAAGTACATATTTTGGAGTTTTCACACACTACTTGAACAACTATAACACAACTAACACAACTATAAAATGTGACATTTTCTAAACCTAGAATGGATTAAACAAAAATAATGCTTTATCTGAAGTTTCTGAAAAACAAGTATACATATTCTCTGAGGAAGATCCGATCCAGCTTTGCAGCAGCAGACTTATTTGTACAGCAATTGGGATCAACTGGAAGTTCTGGTTCAACTTACTTTCTGGGCACAATGAACATATTCAACTAAGAACCAAGGAGCAACAGAAACCCCAGTGTAGGGTTGGTAGGGCTATTCAAGCAGTAAGCTTTCAAGTATAGGTAAGCTGTCAAATATGAAGATTTGCATAAAACATATGAAAATTAAATAAATGAAAATTTGAAGATAACCTAAAAGTAACAACATGACTTACCGTCCGAAGACCCACATTGG